AGGACTCATATAAGGAAATCATAATTAGGAACCCGAAAAAGGTAGGGTATTCAGGGTTAAGTTAAACCCTAAACCCGAAACCGCGGCCATCATCCTCAGGTACCACCCAGACCCCCCGCTCTTTTGAAGGCTGCTTTGGGAGATCTTCGAGAGCGAGCAAGAAAGAGAGGGAGAGAGAGAGAGAGAGAGAGAGAGAGAGAGTGAGAGAGAGAGCCTACCGCATGTTCAGAAGCCGCCACGTTGAAAAATCTTCAGCCTCAAATGGACCTCCTTACCATAAACCCTGAATCTCATAATTCCTTGCTGCGACTTCAAAAGCAATTTCAAGCGCAGCCACCGAAGAAAAGCGGTGCCTTCTGACTCTGTAGAGCCACAGGAAGTCTACACCAAGCTTTTGCCGCGCTTCCTCAAGCTGCAAGAGTTGCTGGGCTATTTCGGCTTTAGGGTTTCGCATAGTGTTCGGAGGTCGAGTGGGGACCTCGCATCTCTCGTCCCTCAAGAGAACAGGTTGTAAGTCCTGGGCCAACAGTTTTCAACTGAAGAGCTTGAAGCTACCGCTGAGGGTTGGAGGTTGATCACAGCGGGAAAATAGCTAAAGTTGGAAAGTCCCTTCTTCAGCCATGACCTGGCTCTGAGCTCCCGACCAGACCCTACGGCGACCTCCCAACGGCCCGACCAATGTAACCATAAATCCCGGAGAGTTCACGGCCCTTCGATCTGAATGTCTTCCGGGTTTCAGCCGCGAAACAGAAAAAGACCCTCAGGCGGTTCGAGGCCCCAGTAGCAGAGTCTTTAACCTCCTTTGGGTAGTATAGTCCCGATAGTATAATCCCCATATAACTTATATCCAAAAAGTTAACCTTTAGTTCCCCAGGATACCCGACAAGTAGGAAGCTTTGAGATCAAACAAGTTTCTACCCTCCACATAGACTGTAGGTTCTGAGCCCAAAACCCTAAATTCTAAGCTGTGAAAACATAAATTCTGAGTAGCACCAAACCTTCAGTCATCAACCCAAGATCCGCAGTTCTACACGTACAAACCCCAAGCCCTACCTGGACCCGGACCCTCGGGAACCCTTTTTTTAGGGCCCCTTACTATGCTTCAATGATTTCCTTGTATGATTTCTTAAAACGCTAGGTTTTTTGCGGTCCATTTAAACCCGAAACTGCTGGTCGGTCATGAAAGCCTAGATCCCAGGAAAGTGCTCAGCAGCCTGGGCCACGGCAGTGCCAAGCGACAGAGGACCTGACCTTTGAAAGAGATCAGCACAGGCCAGAGAAATGGTGCGGCAAGGTTCCGGTCGTTCCCAGACTTCGGACCCCTAAGATTAGGTAAAGCAATAGCCCAGCTCTTCTTACATGATATTATTCTACATATTTTGGGGGTGCAGGTGGGGTTGACGGTCTAAGAATTGGGTTTCAGCTTGTTCAGGATCTGAGGATGTAATTATAAAGATTCGAGATCTTCGGATTGATACTTTGAGATCTAGGGCCCAGGGTTCGGGTGTGGTGTAGGCCGAAAGGCTCCCCCCCTATAACATATAATATGCCATTTACAATATGGGAGTTTCCTAAAATAGGGGACCTTAGTATAGTACCCTAAATAGTAGGATCCTTATTATAAAGACGCCAAAATAAGGTACCCCTATTTTTCGGAACCTCCCATATACAGTATATAGTATGTAATATATATATATATATATATATATATATATATTACATACTATATATATATAATGTTTGTTGATGCAATATGAGTTCGCGGTTTTGCAGCGGTTGGTTTTTCTTCCAAGGAGCGATTAACATGGGGGCCCAAATGATTACCATGACTATTTGCGGAGTTCCATCCGAATTAGCATTATTATTGTTATTATTGTTATTAGTATTCTTCAGCTAGTTGACACACCCCAAACGCCTAATTTGATTATCAAGACCCCTATATTACTAGGTTTACGGTTGCAAGCAGTACTACACCATGAATGTTAATGTTGACTGGGCGATGGCGTTTGGTAGCGATTCATCGAGGAAACGGTTGTAAGTTGCCCAAATGCATTTTGAGGAAGGTTGCGTTTACTAGGTATCGCACAAAGGGTGACCATGCCAATTTTCCCAGTCGCAGCTCAACCCTAAACGCTTTGCCTTGGGGTCAGTCATTATATCGGGTTTCTGGCCTCACGCGAGATCCGGACATGTCGAGAGTACATAGCGGGGGACCTGATCAAGGAGGCTTTGGTCTTAAGGGTTCGGGGTCAAGCGTGTACCCATAGGCCCCATAGTAGTTCCTTTTGGGGAGTACCTTCTAGGTTTCTATATATGAATCCCAAAAAGGAACTACTATGGGGCCTCTGGGTGAGGTGAAGGAGGTCCGTTGACATGAACTGTGTTATTTCGATCGGCCAGTCTAGCCTCAAGCGGCGAGAGCTGCCACGTTCATGGGTAGTTATAAGTGGGGTTCTAAACAAGGTAACTATACTTATAGCCCTTGTTAGGGGGCTTATAACCCCACTTATAACTACCCAACTCCTGCTCGAATGCACTGCCGAACACATATACCATTATTCGTTCGATGCTAGAGCCCTAGCTCTACCTAGAGGCCCCAAAGTAGTTCCTTTTTGGGATTACCTAATAAGATTCTATATACGAACCCCAAAAAGGAACTACTTTGGGGCCTTTGGGTAAAGTCAAGGGCTTTTGACCAGAACCGGTGGCCTGAACGCAGTGCGCGACCTCTAGGCCATGTGCAGAACATGGAAGCTTTAAAATCTTGGCACCCTGACTCTAAATCCCTTAGCCCCTTATAGAACCTTTTTTGGATTCCTTATAGAGAGAGCCCTTTTGGATCCCCTACAGTCTTAAAGGAACTCTAAACCCTCTTGCTGTCGGTTCGAACAACAAAACTCGCACACCCAAAGCCACAAGACCTACAGCTACGAGCATGAACCTGCGACGTACTCACAGACCCCTTGGAGGATCCAAAAAGTAGATCCCTTAAGGGGGTCCTATAAAGTGCCCTTTAGTAGCTAGGGTCCCAAATTAGGGGATCTACTTTTTAGATACTCCCGGGGGTCTGGGCTGTTGGGTTTACTGCTTTAAGGTGTTGCTTTTGTTAGCTTTAGGTCTGAGTTTCGGGTGGCTTCTAACCATCAGCCGTGAATGTATATGTTCCGTACATCCTAAGTCCATGAAACGATAAACAAGATGCACAACCAAAAGCAGAAACGTGCCTTCTCTACGCAATCTGGCTTGCAGCTTAGCTGAGCATGCGAGCTCATACTCCATGGGACAAAGGCACAGAGCCTCGATTTTCCCTCGGAGGTTGCCGATCGAAGGTACGTAGTCCCTCAGCCAAGAGACTCGGGAGTTGTGGTGCTGCTTCGTCAGCCCCACCGCAACCAACCTCAACGACTATATACTCCCAGACAGCCGAGTTATGGTGAGCAGTAGAACTTCGAAGCCCAACTTTACACCTTCAACCCCGAACCCTTAACCCCAAACCCTGCCCGAAACCCTGAGGCCCCACCCACAGCACTCCTTGGCCCAGTAGCCGGGAATTGCTAAGTCGTTGGCCATGTCCAGATCGGGCTGAACTGTTTCAGGCAACCGGGACGCTCTGAGGTTTTAGGGTTTACTTTCACCCTGAATAACCTACCGTTTTCAGGGTTTGTATAAGGAAATCACAATAAGGAACCCGACAAAGGTAGGTTATTCAGGGTTAAGGTAGGGCTTACCTTAGGTGTGACCTAAGCCCTGCTTAAAACTTGTTTTTGTTCATGGAAGTTTGTGCAGAAAGCATCATGAGGAACCCAGAAAAGTTAGCTTTCAGGGTGTAGTGTCAATATAGCGTTCTGTGAATTCGTTACGCAATTCTTAGTAGTAGCTGAGTGGATACACTTTACACTTTTTTGGATAATCTTACCCCCCTAAAACTGAATGTGCACACTTTCTTGGGGCTTATGAACTCAGCAACTAAGAGTTCTGGTGTTGACTCCAGAGGTCTCGGAAACTATTTTAGTCTCCTCGTATTTCTTTTGGGTTACCTTATAGGATCCTAGACATAATTTTGGCTAAGATGCGGCCGGCTAAAGCAGAACTTTCGGAGACTGCGAGGAGCAGCATTCAGATCTGTGGATTTCCTCGGCAGAGTAGTTTTCTGTGAGGTTTGCACGGGTTTAGGGATTTAGGGTTTAGGGCCTAGGGTTTGGGTTTAGGGTGTATGATGTAAAGGACCCCCCAAGGAGAAACTTACGGTATCGCTCCATAGAAGCCCTCCATCGCAAGCGCTACACCTCGTAAATACGAGCAATGTCTTTGAACTCCTTAGAGCAGACATGAGCAGACCCTAAACCCTATAACCCTAAACCCGAAAAGACGATAAACCCTAAAAGCCTAAACCCCAAAGCCGTAATGTAGGAACCTGATAAAGAAACCCTGGGCCTATAACCCCAAAATAGTATGGTTCATTCAAAGAACCCTAATGAAGGCCCAAGCTTTCTTAATCAGGTTCCTACATTTCACCTGAAACCTATGTGGGAGTTTCCGAACATAGGGGACCCTAATAAAGTACCCTAAGTAGTAGGATCCTTATTATAAGGACTCCAAAATACGGTAACCTCATTTTCGGAAACTCCTAAACCCTAAACCTTTTATAGAACCCTTATAGATCCCTGCGGACCCTTACAGGATCCCTTTAAAGCTACCCCTAATTCCCCGTTGTGTCCTCTTGATCCAAGGGTAAAAGGAGGGACCCTTAACAAGGACCCCTAGGTATATACCCTTAATATAGCTATTATATACCCACTATATAACCCATTTTAGGGTAGGGGTCACCATTAAGGGTCCCTCCTTTTCCCCTGGTGATTCCAGTACCCCTCCAAATCCCTAATCCCTAAACCCTATACCCTTATAGAATCCCTATAGATCCCTTTAAAGAGTCCCCATTAAGGGTGCCTCCTTTTCCTCTTTGACTTGAGCCTTGCCGATAAAGGCCCCGGCGGCAGCAGATGGACGCGCCACGGGCGCTTCGAAGCCTGAGGGCCGAGGACCTCTGAGGGCTTTTACTATAGGGTTAGGCTGAGGGTCGTTATAATATATATATATATATATATATATATATATATATGTATATATGTGTATATATATATGTGTATATATATATATGTATGTATGTATGTATGTATGTATGCACGCATGTATGTATGTATATACACATGCACACTTGCATCTATATATCTATATCTATATCTATATATATATATATATATATACACATGTGTGTGTATGTATATATGGACTTACACATATGCAGATATTATATTGATATATATATATATATATATATATATATATATATATATGTTTAACATATAGAGGCTCTGATGTAGCTTTGGGCTTTTCTGTAGGTTCTCTTGGAGGCTTCGGAACTTACGCCACCGCAAGCAACAATTGGTGCGGAGCCTCTCGCGGAAGTAGGTTCTGGTGGTTTAGGGTTTGGGGTATGTCATATTCATATGGTTTAGGGGGAAGGGTTTGATTTGGCTTTTAGGCCTGGCGGCTGGGGTCTGGAGGAGGCATTCGAGCGAGGTTTGGTCCGATCTTCATGGGGGTTTGAGGGTTCGCTTCGGGATATCGGCATGGACTTATGGGTTCAAGTTTGGAGACTTCTTGTGGCGGGGTTTGGAGTCGACATGCCCACTCTTGCTGGCTTCCAGACGTCTCTGAAGCGCAACTTCGGGGGGATGCCTCCTCTTTTTTTTGGCAATGCAAAAGCCCGCTTGAAAAATCCAAATCCTACACCACAAAGCCCTTCAAGCTCTGAACGCTAAACAGAATTCCTACCCCGCTGACTCTGGACCTGAACACGAAAGCCAGCATCCGCTGTGGAGGAGTTGCGACAGCTGTGCAAGGAGCAGGCTAGGACTGTGTGAGGGTCCGGGATCTTCGATCCAGAAAGTGCTTCGGCAGGTTTAGGGATCAGGTTGTCCTAGGCTTATAAAGGGTATACACCCGAAAGCCGCAAATCTGGACCTCATATTTATGTACGGCCCAACCCAAAAAGCCCAAAATCCGAAGTGCCAAAACCACAACCTCAAGTCCAGAGCCGTGAATCACAAACCCTACCCAGAGACTCCAATATTCCTTAATTAAGGAATATTCCTTAAAGTATGGTAGGATCCCTTATATGATTTAAGGTAGAATCCTTAATTAAGGGATATTGGAGTCTCTGGGTACAACGGTTTAGGGTTTTGGATACACCCTATGTTGAAATCCTTGGCTCCATCAGTGCCAAGCTTGTCCTGGACAAACACGGGTAGAACCGAAAAACGAAGGCACTGGACCAAGAACCGAGAAGTAATGCCCTAACGACATCCTCTGTAAAGCCATACAGCGCCCGATAGAGTGTAGCTTCGGAAGCCTTATTACAAGCCTCTACACTCTACAGACATCTTCTCAACAGGAAGCTAATGCAAACTATCCAAAGCCCTATGAATCTCTTCAATCATACAGCCCTCTAGCGATCTGCAGAAGCAGAATGAAGCCCATCAATGCAGCATGACAATAAGACGATACCAGCCTCGTGAAGCCCTAGACGGAAAAGCTTCATAAGCCCCTAGGTATGCAGTCACAAAGCCGGAGAAAGCTCGCACTCCTGTAAAAAAAACCCTAGGAAACCCATCTAGAAGGTTTGACAAGGCCCTCCAAAACATGACACCCTCTAAAACTCCTAATCCCTAGACCCCAAACCCTACAAAACCTAAAAGCCCTTTAATTTAAAGCTCCCAAGATGCCTCAGCATAGAGCACTCGCGGTCAGTGTGAGTAGCTACCGAGTCGCTATAGAACATCTACTATAGGGGAGTTTCCGAAAATTAGGGGCACATTATTTTGGGATCCTTACAATAAGGATCCTACTATTTAGGGTGCTATGTTACTGTAGGGTCCCCTATTTGCGGAAACTCCTATAGGGGCCTTAATCCTGGAATCGGGTTTTGGGGGTGTATTGTACTGTAGGTATAATGAAGAACCGCACTATAGTTATAACAAGGAGCCGCCCAAAATAGAGTAGGTGATTATTAAAGCCCCTACGTTACGAGACTCATGTTGAAAGCTTGCAATGACAAAACAGCAAAGCCTCACAGAAACCGCAAACAACTGCCCTGCTTGCAAGTCCCCAGGGCCTAAGCCTAAACCCTAGACCCTAATACCCTCATCCCCTAAACCCCCAACCCCTGAATGCCATATAGCCCCAAAACCCGGAACGCTCTAAACCACAAAACCATATATTCTAATTATAAAGGCCCCTGTATCCCTATATCCCTTATAGTGCCCTTGTAGTATCCCTTTTAAGGAGCCCTAAACCCTAAACCGTCTATTCTAACAATTTATTCGGCAGGGCCTCGACTCCCGTGGCCTCAAGGGTGAGCTCATCCAGCGACTGGCGCAGCTAAGGGCCGACCAGGCCTTCAGCGCATTTCGTTTCCCAAGGGGTCCTAATCACAAGTTGTTGAACGTCGTTAGGCTGTGTGTGTTTGACTGATATTCAGTAGTATATATCAATAACAGTATGTTGCTTTCTTGTCTTGTGTGTTTCTGTCTTTGAAGGCTTAGGGGTATAAAAGCCTCGGGGTGCTCAGGCTTAGGTTGTTTGGGGTGTGTTTCAGAGTTGTTTTTGTGTTTAGTGCTGATTCGCTTGGAGTGTCGCGCTTTTAGGGCATAAGGGTTTTTAAGCGTCCAGTTCCTTCAGAGTTTCGGTATAAGGCTCAGGGTGTAAACAGTTTCAGTGTCAATGGAAAGCTGTCCCTTGGAGTGCTTTGCAGAACTGAAAAAACCGAAGAAGGTTGCAGGATTTAGTGATCCCAAGGCTCCAGTTACCAAAAAACTGAGTCACTGGGTTACATAAGATGGGGTTAGCAACCTGCTATTTAGGACTGGAGCCTAAGGGGATGCTCACTATGCCCCAAAGCCGAAGGCTCCGGAGCCTACAGCTGGGTTCTTTTTTTCAAGCTTAGCTCCACCTCCTTCGAGGACGAAGGGGGCACCAGTATGGCCGCTTGGCCTTGGTACAACTGAGGGGAGACCGCCAGATGATCTTTTGAAACCTGCGACTTGGCGGCGTACCAGGAGTCGATTCCAGCAGTCTAGCGCGTGTGCCGAAGGCACGCTTGTCATCAGGACCTCCTCTGAGTCACAGGGCGCCTGGCTGCTGCGGAGATCCAACAGACTCTGCAGATGTGGCTGTGCCCTGGGCCCCAAGCCCCTTCAACTTTGCCACCGAGCTACACCCTGAACTCGCACCCCTATACAGCCCTTGGTACTCGCCCAGCCCTTTCAAGCTCTACTTGGAGGATCATGGGACTTAGTAAGTCAGGTTATAAGTAGCTTAAGTGGGCTTATAAGCGGTTCTATAAGTATAGTTACCTTATTTATAACCCCAGTTGCTAAGTCCTATGATCCTCTAAGTACCCTTCCTCCTGAACCCGAAGCTCCCCAGAGCAACCCATAAGGCGCTACGAGTGATGAAAACCCGAGCCTCGATAACTCCAAGTGCTCCCCAGAGACTCCAATATCCCTTAATTAAGGAATATACCTTAAATCATATAAGGGATCCTACCATAATTTAAGGAATATTCCTTAATTAAGGAATCGCTGGGTCATGTCAGACTGTGAGCCCGAAGCATCCATGCTCATCCAGACGCCCCCGCGACTTCTACCTGAATTTAAAATTGCTCTATATTGGCGGCTTCGAGGCATTTACTACAGGTCCCTTTGAGAAGGGGCCTTGCAAGCCTTCAGACACGGAGCCCGAGCCTCAAACCGTAAGCTCTCCGGAATCCTAATGAGGAAAAGGAAACCGAAGGCTCCAAACTCCAAGACCGTCGAACCCCTAAAAACTCTAGAAACGCAGCCGACAAGAAGACCCTCCACCCGAAGACTCCCAAGCCCAAAACCCTAAACCCTAAGACACGTAAGCCCTAAAACCCTACAGTAAACTCATAAAGTTGGAAACCAGACTAAGGCCAAATCATGCTGGGATTCCCTATACATCACTCTTAAGGATTGAGGCTATTGGGTTTCCAACTTGTGGGCTTATACTGTAGAGCCCTGGAGCCCTAAACCCTAAATCCTAAACCCTAAACCCTAAACCTCACAAGCCTGCGTCATCTCCAGTCCAGCGATGGCCCGTCGTCGTCTCCACAGAGGAAAACCCGGGTTCAGAGTCCATATCTATGAAGGTTACTATATGGGATACTGCAAGGCTAAGGGTTTTTTATAAGAGTTCTTATGCGGGATATTATTCAGGTACCTATAAGAGATACTAGAATAATCAGGGTTAAGAATGAGGGGGATTATAAAGGTTACTACCAGGGATACTGTAAGGGTTCCTATAAGTGAGGGTGCTACAAGAGTCATTTTACGGGCTCCCTTGCGGGATGGGTGTTATCAAGGCTCCTATAAGCGATGTTCTAAAGCTGACTACAAGGGATACTGTAAGGGTTATTTTAAGGGCTTACGGGCTTGGGAGGTTTAGGGTGTTTATATGTTTCAGGGTTTTGGCTTTAGATTTATGTGTGAAAGGTTGTTGCGGTGTATGAATTTAAGTTCCCGAGGTCGTGCCCGGAGGTCGTCGTTCAAGATGAACAATCGGAGAATGTGCGCTAAGTTCTTGTGTAGGGTACTGGGCGGGAACCTAGGGTTTCTGGGTGTCAAAAGAGTTTCTCTAAGTGCCTGTGTGGGGGATTAAGAAACATGAACGGTTTCTGTGCGAGGATATGGGTCTTGAGTTCAAGGTTTGGGGGTTTAAGGATTGGAGTTTGGTGATCCGGGTTTTTGTACTGCGCGTGGGTTTGCAGAATTGGACTTGGGGTTTAGGGCTTGAGGCATGGAACTTTTGATGCCCTGCCAGATTTGCCGAAGCAAGGGCAATCACATGCATCATTTGTCGGATAGCATGCGCAAGTGCTTCGTGTTTAATTTTAGCTTCGCGGTGCATCGCATTCCCGCGAAAGCATCTCGCCGTGGCCCACACGCCTCAACTTTCAATCGCAAGGCCGTAGCAACTTTTATCCGTCGAGGCCGTTTATCAAACCCTGCAAGATTTAAGGACCTGCAAAGCCTTGCGAAACTCGTGGTAAAACCCACAAGCCCCTACAGTACACTATAGAAACAATTGCAACCCTATGCAGCCCGTATTGCAATCTGAAGCCCCTGTAGAAAGTTTGCTTAACGCTGCTTTTAAGCCCTCTCCCAAAAGCAAATCCTTTCAGTAAACGCGCGAAAGCCCTGTTACAACCTCCTATTAGCCGGTTAAACCACCGAGAACCTATAAGCTACAAACCCAACCAAATATCCCTAAACTCGAAACCCTAGATCCTAAGCCCCAACCCGAAAACCCTAGACCTTAAGCTCAGAGCCCTAGAGAACCACCCGCATCAAACCTTTGTAACATGATCGCAACCGCTTAGGGTTTCGGGCCGAGGGTTTAGGTTGTCAAAAGAATCCCATCACAAGAAGAGGCAGTTTCCGAAAATTAGGGGTACCGTATTTTGTGGTCCTTGTAATAAGGATCCTACTATTTAGGGTACCATATTAGGGTCCCCTATTTTCGGAAACTCCCAAGAACCCTGAAACCTCAAGGACCCTATAAAGTCCCTACAGAAAGCCCTGAAAGAACCCTTCAAGGAACCCTTGAAGAAGCCTGAAAACTCAGGGACCCTATAAGGCCCTAGAAACAAGAACCCTTCAGGAACCGCTGAAGAAACCTAGGTAAACGAACTGGGTTCTTGTTCAGGAACTTAAAGTTAGTTACCATATTCGAGATCTATAGTAAATAATATGGTTTCTCTTGTATGGTAAACTACTTTTTTTTACCATGGTTGTCTAAATTAGATCCCTACAGCCTAGACCCTAAACCGTTCTTTATCATGGCATTTTAGATTAAACTCCTTATCCCTAAGGGCCCATGTGCTCATATGTAAAGTAGCCTCTGTGTGGGTACTTGAGGACCAAAGTATGTACACTATTTGACCCTCATATACCCTAAGTACCCCATACTAAGCCCTTTAAGGAATCCCTTAAAGGAACCCTTAGGGATACAATTTGGGTGCATGGACCCTTAGGGTATCAAGACCCCAGAAAACGCCGGGAGGCCATCTCCGAGGGCCAAAGCCAAGGCAAAGGGCAGAGCCAAGGCTAAGGCACTCAATGGAGAAGGCGCCTCTGATAACATACCGAAAAATTTAAGATAGGTTTAGGGTTTAGGGATTGGGGTTTAGGGTTGATATATAGCAAAATCTCTAGCATAATAGTATATTGATAATAAACCTGGCGACTTATGGGGTTCTAAAAATTGACTAACGGTGCTGATTCAGTGCTGATTGCGGTTCAGAGGGCTTGCGGGTTTAGGGTTTCGGGCTTTGTAGGAGCCCCTGTACTCTTACACAACGCCTATTCTGAGTCCCCAGGCTCCTGTATTGCCAGCATTCCGTTTTTGTCTCTTCTTTGGGCCCCCCGAAAGGTCGAAGCGCTGAAGATCCAGTTGCGAGGACGGTTGAACATGGCCTCTGCATGAGATGTGATACGAGACTTACCTATCGTCTCCAGTCTACTTACTAGTTCCGTCGTTCGTTACCTCCTCTTCTTTGCTGAAAGACCCTAGCCGTAAAGGTGGTTAACCCATTAAAACGAACCACCATGCAGACCAGAGGCGGGATCTGACTACTATACGAGCCTAAATAAGTACCCATACCATTTGTCGCCTTCCTTTTTATAACTATGGTATAATGGGCCCCAATACCCTATTCTAATTATTAAGGCCCCTACATTATACTTAGCTTTTCAAGTTCAGACTCTAAGGCTCAGGGTTCCGGGCTTGAGAAGATGATGCGCTTGGCTTGTGGATTCGGATCTAGAGCTGTGGTTTCGGATTTTGGTATGGGGAAATGGGGTCTCCACAATCTTTTCGTATCGGAGATGTTGCTTGAATGTCTGTAGGGTTTATACTATACTATACCTATACTATACCTATACTATACCTATACTATACCTATACTATACCTATACTATACCTATACTATACCTATACCATACTATACTTTAGTATAGTTCCTCAAACAGGATCTTGCATGAAGGGATCTCGGAGTGGCCCAACCCGACACTCAGACGCCAGTTCTCTATCGAAAAGTATTATAGGGGTATACGGAAACCCTAAACCCTAAACCTTAGGGTTTAGGGTTTAGGGTTTCGGGTATGCCTTCCGGATCATTAACTTAGGGGAATGCTAATAATCATTTTGAGGAGAAAGGAGCCCTCAGCCAGACTCCCTAAACAATACCTTAACCATGAACAACCTACCTTTTTGCGGTTCCTTCTCATGATTTCCTTCTGTAAGTCCTTAAAAACCTAGGTTCTTCCGGGTTAAGGTAAGGGTCCAAGTACCCAAATAGTAGGGTTTCAGGGCCCAAAATCCATACTCTGCATGGTTTTTGGAGCTTGAAACCCTACTATTTGGGTACTTGGACCCTTAGGGTAAGGGGTTGTCCAGGACCACTAAAAGCTCTCCGTCCACCCGGACCAATCGCAGCGGCCTGGCCGCATCGTAGGGGCCTGGAGGTTGGCGCTTCGGGTTTGTTTTTGTAGGGTTTAGGGTTCAGGGTTTAGGGTTCTGTAGGGTTCTGTAGGCTTTAGGGTTCTGCAGGTTTTAGAGTTTGTACGGTTTAGAGCTTGCTGGGTTTAATTAGGGCTTGTACGGGTTTTGACTAGAAGGGTTTAGGGTCAAAGGTGAAGCTTCTAGTGGGTTTAGCGGTTTCATGTTCTCGGTGTTTTGCAGATCCAAGGGTAAAAGGAGGGACCCTTGACAAAGACCCCTAACTATATACCCTTAATATAGCCATTATATAGCTCATTATAGGGAAACCATAAACCCTAAACCGTGGTAGAGGTCCCCATTAAGGGTCCCTCCTTTTCCCCTTTGAGCAGACCGTAATCCGCAGCCTCTTCGGTGGAGGACTTTGCCAAGGCTAGCTGGGGGTCTTCTACTACAAAGCTGCTCATACCTTAACCCTGAAGAACCTAGCTTTTTACGGATTTATATAAGGAAATAACAATCAGGAACCCTAAAGAGGTAGGGCATTCAGGGTTAAGGGTACAGCTTGTGATGATGCTTCCGATTGTTCTGGTTAAGGTCGTCTACTGCTGTTGCTATTCTGGTACGATGATGTTGTATGTGTTGGCCGTAAAGTCATGTCGGTCACAGGAAACTGCAACAGTGATCTCCCCAAATCACTCCTAAATCCGCGTTCCGAGCCATAAGACAGTTCGCGGCGCATGAAGGTTACCTAAACTATTGAGTTGTAGGGCAAGTAGCTCTTCCAGGTGTTGGGGAGCCCATCGTTGCTTTCAACAGGTATCTTATTCCGGGTGTTAATCGTGGCGGGTCCCTTATAGAAGGTGCTGCTGCGACGGTTCACAATGCACACATCAGAACTTGGGAAAAGTGAAACTGAACCGTAGCAACCCGAAGCAACATGTACAGTTTCTTGAGCTAGAAGCTTTGCGCTGGTCCGGAGTCAAGATAAATACATATATATATATATACACACAAATATACGTGTATATATATATATATATATATATATTTATTTATATGTAAATATATATATATATATATATATATATATATATATGCAGACGAATATGTTAGCAATACTTTTCGAGTCTGCTTCACACTGCAACATATATGCAGAAGTACATACCTGAGCATTCAGAAATAGACACATCGTGCGGTACATAAGGCACTTTTTGTGATGCCCTCAACACCTCCTGCAGTGTTCAATCCTTCTGCCCAAGTTGCAGCACAGGCGCAGTCCCAGCACTGCTGCGACGAGCCCAACCTGGTGCAGGTGGTTTGGGGTTGAGGGGTTGACTTGGCGGTCAGGTATGTAGGCGGTCCTGGAGGTTTCGTACATCGTTATTGGAATGCCTTGTCGAAGTCTTGGGATTAGGATAAGTGGTGTTGAGGGCTGTGGGGCCCATTAGTCGAGTTCTGGTCGGGTGCAGGGCAACCGGCTGGGGTTAAGGGTTTCGGGCTTAGGCGCAGTAGGGTGAAGAGTCGTCCTCGTGCACGGATTTCGTTGGGGTTGCTCTTCGGCACTGAAGCTATCGGGTTTAGGGTTTGCGGGTTTTAGCTCCTTCCAAACCGCACGGTGGACATCGAGGATTGTGTATTGAATGATGTGCCCTGCTGGGTTCCAGCACAAAAAACCACCCATATGTTCCCAGACATCCGGGAGGATATAGAAAGTAGATCCCCTAATTTGGGGCCCTATACTACTAAGGGTACTTTATAGGAACCCCACATTAAGAGATCTACTTTTTGGATTTCACAAAGGGGGTCTGGGTTGAGATGACCTAACAGGTTTCTGTTGAAACCTCGTCTGTCACACATAGAACCTCACATTTCCAGTCCCATTGTTTCTAGCTATTCTCTCACAAACGTTCCGGCGAGGATTGTAGAACTACAGTAGGCTATAGTATACTAGAGTATACGGCTATACTATACTATACTCTGTCATCTATTCACCACCTTAGCTCGACAGAACCTTGCTCGCAAATCGCGGCCAGGACCTCAGAGCGCATACCCCAAGCCGGGACGTACAGACTTGGCCATCGCAAAGCAACTATGCGCCTCAAGCCCAAATGCCCAAAGCTTACCAAGGCCCAAATCCTGAAACTTTCATGCTAACCGCAAACATGTAGACCTCAAACCCTGAATCCAGAAACACTCAACTCCCAAAACCCTAGAACCTTCAAAGAACCCTAGAACCCTTGAAGAACTCCCCATAGAAGCCCTCACTATATCGACCCTGAGCCCAAAACACTAAAAATAGGGGCTTAAATGACCACCTATGCAATTTGGGAGGGTTCCTCATTTTGACTACAGTATAACGGGCCCTCAACACCCTATTCGAAGTAATAAGCCCCTATATTATAGAACCCTACTAATGATCCCGTATAGTAACCTTTATAGACCCCTTTAAAGGAACCCTATTCTAGTTATTAAGGCACCTATATTACAACCCTAAGCCTAAACCTCAAACCCTATTCTATTTATTCAGGCCCCTATATTATTGAACCCTGCGAATAGTCCTACACCCTAAACCCTAAACCTCACAGGAACCCTAAGGCCTAAGGCCCTATTCTAAAACCCTAAGCCCAACCAGAATTGGGCAACTTCATATGACCAGAAACCCTAAACCCTAAACCCCTAAACCCTAAACCCTTACAAAGCCTAAACCCCTAAACCCTAAACCCCAAAACCCCAAACCCTTAAACCCTAAACCCCTATATGACCAGAATTGGGCAAGTTTCGAGGCGTGAGCCTTTATGCAGCCTCAAGGCAGCAGCTGATGCGGTGTGTAAGATGCCAGGCAGGGCGGGCTCAAACTTTAGGCTAGGGGTCCTTTAAAGGGGTCTATGAGTGTTACTACAAGGGATCTATACTAGGGTTCCATACTCCAGGGGCCTTCATAATTGGCATCGGGTTTCGGGTATATTGTATTATAACTAACTACATAATATGGAATGCCCAAAACACCCTATTTTGATTAATAAAGCGCGTGAGCCAGACAAGATGCATGTCAGGGTCGAGGGAGCGGAGGGGTTCCCAAAGACTCCATGTGCCCACATAGTAAATACTTAAGCCTTAAAGTAGCTACACATGAACCCCTTTAAGGCCCAAGTGCCTACGATATGTGCACATGGAGTCTTAGGGGATGTGTGGGGTTGGCTAACGTTTGGTTTCGGAGAGACGGGATGCCGTCTCTAGCCTTAAAGGGGGGACCTATATCACATACAGGCATTATTGCTGATTTGTTTAGTGTAACTTGCATGCGAATGTTCTGACATAAGATGTAGTACACAGATTGCACAAAATGAAGGCGATTGTTTGCTTCGCACAGCCGGCCAGACCAAGAAGTGTGTCTCGACGGAAGAAATCCCAAATCCTGATACCCGAGAGGAGAGGGACCTGACTTTAAACTGTGGTTCTAGGCAGTATCGTCTTCTCTGAATTGTCAGCGCGTAGCACAAGTTGGGAAAAGGAGCCCAAAGCTTCGATCCCGTAGATGATGCAAGCTAAGCTTCTTAACCGTGAGAGGCTGCTTGACAGGATTAAGCCTTGGACCATGACCTAAAGCTGATACAGAAGCCTGCTCCGTGGTTTGTGTATAGTTGGTTGTTGATGTTGGGCTGGGGCGCGGACAATCGAAGGGAGCGGGGGTCCTCAGGAACCTTACTCGTAGGCCCACAGTGCAAGCAGTCTTTTACATCCTGAAGGTATCATACGCATGGCACTGTAATTCCGTATTTGGTGAATGCTGCTCCACTACCGTAGCCCCGGAGTAGCTCGGAGCAGGAAAAAATGGTTCATTTAGACGATGCCGTACCACGGTGGCCGCCGCCGCAACGAGTGGGACCACGGCAGCTATTCTCAGTGGAAGCAACCAGGCACTGGAAGGCCTGTGCGAAGCGCACTCGACCACACGACGGGCGTTTTTTGTTTCTATCGTGCTTCTCTCTGTCCCATGATGCACGAATCTAGTCGCACAGCAATCCGTATTTTTATTTTGTTGTTAGTGTTTTGTGCCCGGAATCTCAATCCACAGTGCCAGGCGAGAACACCGCAGCACAAACGTTCAACATCAACAAAGCCGGAGATCTTGACCAGCAATATTGCATGGCGGCTGGCGAGCAGGTGTACGGACATGCAATCCATGGCCAGACAGGCACAAGGATGCCGCGATTCCGAACTCCAACCCCGGCATTTTCATGTTTGGAGACAGATTTTGACCTGGCCATATTGCCAGAGAAAAGTGTCCTCGAAATTGGATTTGCTTGATTATTGTGGCAGACAAGTTTACTGCAGTTGGCGTAACCACACAAAACATTGCGTGTGCAAAAACTTGCATTTGCAATCTTTTGCTTTCAATTTGCTTGTCAAACTTGCATTTGCTAGCATTTGATCTCGAACCCCTCAAGCGACTCCGTGTTTTGTGCGAAAGTTCTTAAGCGTGGTTTCCCTGGGAGGGGCAGCGAAGACACACTTGCTTGAGTTTTTCTTGCAAGCGGCCAAGGGAGCAGGAGGGCCCAAAGCCCTGTGTGATGAAGAGGGCAAGTCACCTTTCTGCCGGGGCGTTGGCAACTTCTCGGCTTTGGCCATATTTGCCAAAGCCCAAAGCAAGATCGTCTATTGCCCAGACGAGTGGGGCTTGGCTGTACACCCGTCGCGTGGGCCGGCCCCAAAAGGTTCGTCAATCAATCAGATGGGTGAGCATGCAAGCAACGGGAAAGGGAGACTCGCTCTCATCCATACAGGTAGCGGCAGCCAGACATGCAAACAAAAATGCCTCGGATTCCGTTTCGGCAAGAGCTCATCAACTTCGTGACACCGGCATCCGGCGGCGGCATGCAAGGTGTTAGGGTGGACAGGTCGAGCGCTGTGTTTTGCACGACATTGCAGAAGTCTTCAAGGCTTGTCGGACATGTTCGCTTGGCTGCTGTATGCTGCTGTATTGCGTTTTTCGCAGAAGCTTCCAGTGGAAACCCGAATGGTTGTTTGAAAGATGCTTCGTCCTCAAATTAGTTTTCATCAAGCTGGTCCAGGACGATCGCACAGGACCTGGCGCCAAAGGCCGCTTTGTGATGAAAACTTGAAGTTCGTTTGATTCTGAAGGCGTGTTGTGTCTGTGGACGCCGCGCAATCGGACGAGTTCAAAACGAGGGACGCATTGCCAAAGCTGCAAGGAAGAACTGGAAAACGAAGCTTGGGCCTGAGTTTTTTTTGGTTTCCAAGAAGGAGTTTGTGATGCTGCAGAGGTTGAATTGCATTTGACCAGGTCTGGCAATGAGCTGCTTGTGGGAGAAGCTGTGTAACACACACTGGTCCTAATTGTCGAAACACTCCAAGTACGACCCAGTGCCTTGAGATTGGGGTTCAACGCGTGTTAATTATCATTTATGCCACGGAAGGTCAACGAACACAGCTGCGGGGAACCCTTTGTGGTGACACCGCTTCGGGCGGTAATTCGTTCAATGACGCGGCTTGACCACTCGAAACCTTTCGGCCCGACCGGGCCTAGCACCGTGCTCTCGAAGTTCCGTGTCATTCTGCCAGACGGTTGGCGACTTCTTCGTTTCACCCGGGCCTCTCGTCGAGCTCTGTCTGCACGTCTCGGCCTGTACTTCAAACGCATTTTGGAAGTGCAGTGTGGAGCCTCTTGCTAGCTTGAATTGTGAAAAGCTGTAGCCGTCTATGTATCACTAAGCCTAACAATGACTGATTAATTACTTAATCATGTCAGTGACCTACTCCAAACCCTGAGCGCAACTGAGTCGTCTTAAACTGTTTTCAACAGCTCAATCCGCAAAGCCAGAGACCCTATGTCAAAGGATATCGTCACTATCGTCGCGTTGTCATCTAAGTACCCACCTTTCAAGTCTTTTGCGCCAGTATAATATGATCCCGCTGTCCTTACCTCCCTATCCCTCAACCTGGGGCCCCGAAAGCAACCCAAAAACTCAACTCCCAGAATGCCGACCTTTATGAATGACAAGGCAGAAGCTTTGAACATGTCTTTGTTCAGGCGCTTTGCAACCTTCTTCATGGACGGTACCTGGCCTGCTGTCTTTCTGTGTTGCGGGGTTCCCTTTAGAGTGGACACTCCAAACTGTGTGTGTAGATGCCAGAATAATCCCAGTTTTGTTCTTTACACGTAGGGTTCCTTAATATATTTGTTGCATAATACACGCCCCCCAAACCCCATTTATTTCTGTAGTCTATCAGGGCCCAACCCCACAAAATCACAGCACTAGGATTTATAAGCCCAGGCACCCTGAGTTTGAGGGCCTCAGCCAGCCAGCCGCAAGCTCCGGGTTTAGGGTTTGGGTTTTGGGGTGCCGCAAGGCTCATGGTAACATGTTCGTTGTTTTTTGTGGTTCGGTTACGGTTGCCTTTGTCGCAATCTCCAGAGCAACCACACGCAGACATTCACGCACCACACACACACACACACACACACCACACACACACACACACACACACACACACACACACACACACACACACACACACACACACACACACACACACACACACACACACACACACACACACACACACACACACACACACACACACACGCAGACACACACACACACACACACACACGCAAACACACACGCAAACACACACACACACACACACACACACACACCCACGCACGCACCCACACTTCAAGGGGAGTAGATGTAAGTTACGTGTGAAAGGACACTTGAATCTAGCGGTCGATACAAATTCTTGACGTAAGGTCCGGCGAAGCCACAGCTTGGGTTCAGGGTAGGGGGTAGGTTCCAAGTTCAGTCAGTTTACTTTGTTTTTGGTATGGCTGCTTGCAATATGAATCCCAAAGCTCGGGATTTTGTGCCGGTTTGTGCTATGACGGAACCTTGACCGGAAGCTCCCGAGCTCGGAATCCCTAAATTAGAAGATGCACTTTGGAGGGTTTAGAGTTTAGTTAGGGGTTTAGGGTTTAGGGCTTAGGAGTTTAGGGTTAGGGATTGCGGTTTTGGTCAGGTTTGGATACAAGTTCTGGGCAGCGGGGGATACAAGTTTTAGGTTTCAGGATTCTGCGATCAGTGTTAGTGAGGACCAGCATTGGGTGTCACAGTCGGAATTCTCTAAACGCCTGGATGAAAGGATCAGGGGACCAGTAAAAAAGTGCTCGACCCAGGCTCATGAATATACAAAGCGAGTTTGACTGAGCTTGCACCCCCAGCGATTGCATAGCCTGTAGCTAGAACCCGAAACAAAGGTGTAGAGGCGACGATCAAAGAACATTTTGGGTCAGAAACTGAGAATATATACTTGCAGAGGCTGGGGACCCGGGTCTACCCTGTCGCAAACGGCTAAGCCCCGTAGACCCATTTGTAACTCCTATCCCTTTTAGAAAGCCACACCTAGGTACAGCGACAACCCGGAAGATTTCTGGTGTCCGCTGTGCCGGTTCAAGGCCTTCCATCCCCCCTCTCCGTCTTGTTCATTGCTTCTGTGTACGGGTGTGAAGAATTTGGAAGAGTACAGTCGTGGAAGCCTCTTCTAAACCTTTGTTCTGAGCAGACGGGCCCCATACCATGACGACACGAACGCTACACGGCTTTACAGATCAATCCCGCGTAAAGGCTTGCTGGATCCCTGTACCCTGGAGCGCTACAGACCCCATGCTTTGAAGGGCTATGTCTTCTTTCAGGCCCATGGCCTTGGATGTGGTCCGTAAGATTTGGCGTCGGGATCGCGATACCTCTAGTTGCCAGTATTCGGCTTAAGTGGGTCTTGTTTACGAACATGTTTCACAGGGTTTTCGCGGCAAAGCTGGTTAGGATCTGGAGCATCGCAGGTTTAGCTCGAGGATGCAGGGCATGCAGGGTCAAATCAATGTTTAGAGAGGCTGCTTCAACCCATCAATTTAACCTGCGGCCGGATGTTTGTTGTGTATTTAAATAAGTTGTATATATATATATATATAACTTATATATCATATACACACACACACACAAAGAAAGACACATATGCATCGGACTAGAGTTCAATACACCGGCTGTCCCGCAACGAACTGTGAAATTTTGGCCAAGCCGTTAAGCCCTGAGACCTGGACCCACTCATTCCGTCTCGTTCCTACACAGAAACCGGCGCCCTAAATGAAGTCTGATACGTACATGACTCAAACCCTCAAAGGTTGACAATATGATCCCGTTCCATCTTACATGAGCTTTGAGCTCTAGTACCATTTGTGGGTTCCTTATTGTATTTGTAGTGATTATACTGGACACCCACACCATGTGCTAATTATTAAGGCCCCTATAATATGAGGCGCCCCAGATGAGGGAAGATCCTGTTCTGTGGCATGGGCCCGGGAGGTGATGGATCCGTTCAACATGGTCGTCGAGGACGGCGGCGTGCTGAAGTGCCTCCGCTTCGAAGTAGGGACAGGGTAGCTGAGGGTTGGGGAGTTGGCGTTTCGGAGCCCAAGCAAGAGTGCATGTCGTCATCACCACGCCGTCGTGCTTTTCATCATCATCGCATTTGCAACCCGTCGTCGCGGCTGCTGATGCCACCGATGCCGGCGTAGTCTTCCCAGCACAAGTAGCAGTAGCAGTAGTAGTCGTCGCCGTCGTAGTAATTGTAGTAGTGGCAGTGGCAGTCGTGGTCGTGGTGGTGGTGGTGGTGGTGCTCGTTGTGCTGGTGGTGGTGGTGGTGGTGGTGGTGGTGGTGGTGGTGGTGGTGGTGGTGGTGGTGGTGGTGGTGGTGGTGGTGGTGGTGGTGGTGGTGGTCGTGGTGGTGGTGGTGGTGGTGGTGGTGGTGGTGGTGGTGGTGGTGGTGGTAGTAGTAGTAGTAGTGGTGGTAGAAGTGGTCGTGGTCGTGGTAGTGGTAGTAGCAGTAGCAGTAGCAGTAGCAGTAGCAGTGGCAGTGGCAGTGGCAGTAGCAGTAGCAGTAGCAACAGCGGTAGCAGTCGTCGCAGTAGTACTAGCAGAAGACGTAGTAGTAGCAGCAGCACGCAGCAGCAGCAGGTGCAGCAGCAGCAGCACTGGTAACAATGGCAGTAGGGGTAGGATTAGGAGAAGGAGTGGGGGTGGCGGTGACGGTGGCCCAGTTATGAGCCCGAAGCCCTAAACAGCAAAGCCCACCCAGGCTCCTGATGGTCGTGGAGCCGCAGTTCGATTTTACACTGGACCAGCTTTGGGGTTTAGGGTTTAGGGTTTGGGGTTCAGGGGTTTAGGGTTTGGGGTTTAGGGTTTAGGGTTTGGGGTTTAGGGTTTGGGGTTTAGGGGTTTAGAGTTTAGGTTTTAGGTTTCAGGGTCTCTGGCTCTCTGCAGTTCTCAGTTCTCTGTAAGTTACAAGTTTTCTGCGCGATTGGGGGTTCATCAATGGCCTACATCTCCCTCGAGCCTCAGCCTTAACGCCGGCTGAATGAATCTTGGTTTCCGCAAGGTGTAGTGACGTGTCTGAGCCTGATTACACTTCTGGTGTCGGGTTCCACCTGGTCGTGGAGAGCTTCTCAGAGTTGAGGGTAAACGGGTGCAGGTCATTAACGCCTTGCTCTAGCTCCTAAATTAATGAACCCTTTTTCGCAACCCGTAGGTGTCTCTTTAAAAGAAGCCCTTAACAGGAACATGTTCTAAGCTTTAAGGCCCCCACATCACCCTCAGATGCCTGCGGAAGGAGCTCCCAGATCTACGGCAGTGGCGTCGGGAAGGCCTTGCGGTGGCATTGAGGGCTTCATTCTTCATTCCTGGTTTCAGGAGGGTTTATCGTTCTGGGTTTCGGGCGTTAGGGTTCACTTAACGGCTCAATCAGGGTTACAATAGAAGTGTTGAGGGTTCCGCATGCCTATGTAGTGTATACTCAAGCAAAGATTGCCTCTGTGGGAACCCCTTTAAGACATATTTGGTTATGTCATAGAACTAAATCAAAACCCTATGAACCCCACAAAAGCGCTTTAAACTCAGACTTAAGACCCTTCACCTCGGAGTTCTGGGCTTGGCTCTAAAGCTTGTATCAAGGCAAGTCCGTGGAGGTGCGGATGCTTCGAGTTGAGCCCTCAGTGCTCTTGGACAATATTTGATTAACATACTCTACAGGGTCTAGGCTGCCAGGAATGAGGTTCAGAATCTAAGGAGAAGTTTAAGACGTGTGCTGTACGGGTCGGAACAATTACCAATACTTTTCCGTAGGGTTCCCTATTGAACTTATCGTTTAATCTACCCGAAAACCCTACTCTGCTGTTTCAGGGCCATACATGAATTGGGAGTTATCGGGATGTTCATGCTGTCCAACCCTCAGGGTCCATGTATCCAAGTAGTGTATACTTTGGCTCCAAAGTACCTATACAGGGACTACTTTCAGGCCAATCTATATACATGTGAGTACATGGACCCTTAGGGCAAAGCACGAGGTCGTGTGAAGTGTTGCTCACCCGGAAGAACACCTAAACCCCCAAAAGTAGGTAAAATAATGGCCCAAGACCTAAAATACTTACTTTTGAGGGTCTAGGCATGCACCAGGCTGCACTCACACTCCCAAGCGAACAACGGATCTGTCCCTGCCCCTAAGTCCCGGACGCGGTCTCGATTGTTGAATTACCCTAAGGCCCTAAAGTAGTTCCTTTTTGGGGTTCATATTTAGAATCCTATTAGGTAATCCCGAAAAGGAACTACTTTGGGGCCTCTGGGTAGTAAGAAATCCACCGGAATTCCGACAGAAACACCAACTCACAGTGCCAACTGACAAAAGCTCCGCACAGCCCCATACAAGTTCTATATAGCTCCGTAGTTACACAAGCCATAGAAGACCTGTAAGACCCCACGCAAAGCTTCTGTAACCCACGCTGCTAACCCCCCACCCCAACTCCCCCAAACTGGCATCTTCGGATGCCCGCTCCTTGCCCACCCTCCCCCCCGCACCTCGGAAGCTGCTGCGTTGGAGTGTTGAAGTCTTGGAGGAAAGCAAAGTTGCAGAGAGGCGTGAGGAAGAACAGGGTTCAGGCCTCTGGATTGTGCGGTGGGTGGTGGGTTCTTCATAAGTAAGTGAGGTCTTTGAAGCTTCCGGGTTTGGGCTTTTGGGTTGTTTGGGAGTCCATGATACCCACCAAGGTGAACAGCACCAAAGTGGAGCAGGCTTGCTGCGATGAGCCCCGATTTTGACTGGTTTGTTTACGGCTTCTTAGGCTTTGCAGGCATGGGCTTTAGGCCTATGTCCAAAACCCTAAACCCTCAACCGGTCTATCTCTCCCAGAGACTCCAACATTCCTAAATTAGGGAATATACCTTAAATCATATTAAGGATCCTACTAGAATTTAGGGTATATTCCTTAGTTAAGGGATATTGGAGCCTCTAGGCTCCGGACACCCGGAGAATGAATCTGCATTTCTCTTAAGGATGACGGCCCAGCCGGAGCAAAGTTTCGGAGTTTGCACGGAGGAGGGCGTAGGGCGTGCAGTTTCGGTTGTAGGGTTTTGGGCTTAGTGTTGAGGGTTTAGGGTTTGAGGGTTGAGAGTTCCGGGCTTTAGGGTTCAGAGTCGCAGAACTTAGCTAGGGAGTCGTGTGGGTTGGAGGAGACTCTGGGAACCCCTGAATAGGTACCTATACTATTTTTGGGGTCCCTTATGGTAATTATAGTACAATGGGCCCCCAAAACCGTATTCTAATTATTGAGGCCGTTGTATTGTGTTAAGGTACTTTTGGCTCATCGATACGTCATCACATGGTACATCGGAGTACATCGGATGTTTTGGACTTCTGTTGAGTCTTCTGCTGCCTGCTACAACATATAGGGCACCGTGGGATTCAACGAGTGGCACTTTGAGAGACTTGCGAATTTGCCTCGTGATGGTCCGCGAACAGGTTCCTAGCCACAAATTCTCTTCAGGGCCCTCAGATTACATCCGAGCACGTTGTGCTCGGGATGCGTTTCTGATGGGTCCGACGTTTTATAATTATTGATTTGGACTAATTTGTTGAAGTGGGTCTGACTCAGTCTTTCTTACAACATCACCCATTTGTTTTGCGATGTTGGTCTTCACAGCTCCCTGAGGGAGAATACCAATCGAGGGTCAAACATGTGTCAGCAAGCCACCGCTGAACGTTCGTAAAGCGGCTACAACAGGTGTGGCCGCGTCAGATCCATGTCTTCGCCAACGGAATCGAGGCATCAGCAATCCAGAGTTTGGTGTCTAGTTTAGCAGGGGCCCCCACCCTGTAATAGTGGTAATAATAGGAACATAATAGGGCCCTAATATAATCCTTATAGTCACTATTACAGGGTGGGGGCCCTTCTAAGGTGTCTAGTTGTTTCTGGCCTCGGAGTTCAGGTTCGGAACTTAGGGCCGAAGAGCAGTAGCACTTGCAAGTTGTACGTAGTGAGCATGGTTCGGAGTGCTGGGCCCGAGTTGAAAGCCTTTCTGTAGTAAATGCTTTCTAGTATCACGTCCAAGCCCTGTTCCCTGTATCAAAGCCCCCCTTCTATGTGTGCAAAAGTGGATGCCCCGCTAAGCTTCGAAGCACGGTGCTTAAGGCAGTACAAAAGACTCCCAAACGGCCCAAACCCAAATCCCTAAAACATAAGATCCTAAACCCCGGTGTTTAGGGTTAAGCCTACAGCCCCGAAGCAAGCAGCAAGTTCTGCGCAACAGCCGCGCAACTTAGGCTGCCATCCTACATAACGAACCCTATTGCTAAACGCCGTACCCGAGACCCTAAGCGCCTAAACCCTAAACCCCTAAACTCAAACCCTTGACCCCCAAAAACCCTCAAGCCCCTACGCCCTAAATTTGTCCGGCCTTCCTTTGTGCAGGTGTTTTCGGTTCACCCGCCGGAGGAGAGATCTTCTGGGCTTTGGGGTTCAGGGTCTTAAGGTCTAAGGAGGGTTCAGATTTTCGGCTTGAGGACTTGAGAGCTTATGGTTGTAAACATGAGGGTATGAATGAACAGGTATAGATGAAATATTTCTAGGGTTCACAGCTTTAAGCAGATGGCGTGAGGTTCGGAAGGCAGCAGCCACATGTGCAGATCGGAAAAAGAAGCCAGCTTGCGAGGCAGCTTCAACCGACTTTTCTGAAAGGTCTAAAATTTATTGGGTCTTCTGCTGACTGATGACCAATTATTATTGATTGTCGACTTCTCCTTGTATCCGTTACTTTCTGATGTGCGCGTAGTTGTGCGATCGTCCTGCGGGCTTCGTCTTTGCCCCAAACCAACCCTGCTTTGAATGCTTTGGAACCTACCTCGAGGCTCATACTCTACCCCTTTTTGTAGGATACCTAGTTTTATGGTTAGGACCTGTTATCTTAAAAAGTAGGCGCCCTCAAAAAGGGGTAGGGTAGGAGCCTCTAGGTAGGGGCTGCTTCAGCAGAACTCGCACCCAAACCCTGACAACTCCACACGCTGCCTTGCAGCTCTCCCGATAATCCTAGACCCGAACGCTGCTACCAAACCTAGAACCCTAAACCCAAACTTAACCCTCCAAGCCCCAATTTTGTATTCACCGAACAAGCCAGGCTCCAGACCCCAGTGTCCCTGAACGCGCACCCCCCCGAAACGCTCAACCTCAAGCCTGCGTCCGAAATCCGCGAAGCCCTAAACAACTCGAAACCCCCGAAGCCCAAAGCGAAAGGAGGGACACAAGCGGCGAGATGTGCCTCAACACATTTCCAGTGGCCTGAAGGTCCGCACTTGTCCAGAGTTGATCATCTAAAGCCCTGACATGCCGCTGCTTCAGGGTTTGGGGGTTTAGGTTTAATGACCGTGTTTTTGTTTGCATGTGTTGCGTTTGCGCTTCGCCGTCCCATGCCGTCCGTTAGTTGCTGACAAGGCTCATAACACGCCACCTTTGCCCTATGCCCTACACTACACTCCAAGTTCTAAACCCTTAACACCCAAATAAGCCCTGAACCCGAACCGGTCATAAGCCCTGAGCCCTAAACCGCAGACCTGGTTCGCCCTCACCCCTAAAACCCCCTTTGTAAGCCCAACATCCAAAAACCCTAAACCCTAAACCCTCATAGACCCTAAAACCCGTCAGCCCTAAGCCCCCTGAGACCCCCCCCCATATTATGGATCCTACTATAGTTTAAGGTATATTCCTTAATTAAGGGGTTTTGGAGGCTTTGGGCCCTCAGAAAGCCCGTAGCCCCAAGACCTCGGTCTTCCTGATCTGTCTGCTTCTCAATAGGGAATTGGGGAATGGATCCCTATAGTACCTAGAGGGTCATACCCTACCCCTTGTTTAGGATACCTAGTTTTATGGTGAGGTTCTCTTATATAGAAAAGTAGGTACCTTAAAAAAAAGGGGTAGGGTATGACCCTATAGGTAGTAGTCCCACTAGCCCATCCCCCCATTCCCTACTTGGAGGCTCGTGGGTAGTTATAAGTAGGGTTATAAGCCCCTTAATATGGCTTATAAGTATACCTACCCTACTTATAACCCTACTTATAACTACCCATGAACCTCCAAGTACTAAGAACCAGACAGAGATTAGTCTTTTAGACCCCGTTAAAGGAACCCTGAAAGAACCAGTTTAAAAGGAACCCTTAAAGGAACCCATTCCCCCATTCCCTCCTAAAGGGAACTCCAGAAAGTTGGAATATGGTTTCAGGATAGGATACCCTATAATTTACCATAATGGGTTTAGGAGAATCATATTCCAACTTTCTGGCTTTTACCTTAAGAACCAGACAGAGATTAGCCTTATAGACCCCTTTAAAGGAACCCTGAAAGAACCCCTTTAAAAGGAACCCTTAAAGGAACCCATTCCCCCATTCCCTCCTAAGAACCAGACAGAGATGTCTGACAGGGGGGCCGGAACGACATCACCGTGCGGATGGTCAGGGCCTTAGGGCCCTTGCTGTAAAGCTGCGCTCTTAAGGTTTATAGGGCTTCTAGGGTTTATGGCTTTAGGGTTTAGGGTTTTAAGGTGTTGGGGTCTAGAGTTTTAGGATTTTAGGGTTCAACTTTTTAGGGTTTTAGGGTTTAGGGCTTTGGGGTTGTTTCGGCTTTCGGTCGAGGGTTCTGTGTGAAGGTTCCGATGATGGGGCCTCGGGACTCTTTCGAGATTTAAGGGTTCCTTTTAAAGGGGCTCTTTCAGGGTTCCTTTAAAGGCGCCTGTAAGGCTACTATAAGGGATTTCCGGAGCGAACTAGCGGAGTTTCAAACTCCCGGCATCGGCAGTGTGTGTGTAAAGATAGGCATACAGACAGACAGACTCGCACATAGATAGATAGATTTCGCCCAAATGCGATAAGCCCGAAGTCCTCAACTTGAAGCTTAAATAAAGCCTTTATGCTGGTCTAGTTTTCCTCAGCTAGGTGCCTGAGCATGTGAACTTGTGAGCCCTTCCGTCTCAATCCCTCAAGTAACATGCCTTCACGATTGTAGCTAATTGACTAGCTTGTAGAAGCTTCGCTACACAATGGAGACCCGAACAACAACTTTGGATTCAAGTTGACGGCCCAAGACCCAAACCTGTTCTCGAGCAGCATCCATGTCAGCCACAAACTTGATAAGGTTGCCAAGGCTTCAAGCTCCAACCAAGACCCCATAAACCCCGAAATCCGAAATCCCGAACTCTGAACCCTAAGCGCAAGGCTTTGAATCACCCAGTTCTCAGCGTTTGGTCGCTTTTCCAACCTCATCTTCCATTGGCCCGAAACCATGGTTCCGAGTGGTACTAAACTCTTAAGTTAAGCTTCATGGGATTCAGCTTTATAAATTGCGTATAGTGTGTGCTATAAAGCCCAATGACTACGGGAGCACCACCATGGAGAGACCGCACGAGACCCTTCCGCAGAATCTGGGAGCCCGTGCAATGGGAGCACCATTGTGACGACAGCCCATGCAGTTTCCGATCTCGAAGGCTCAAGTTTTCAATTGCTTGGAACTGCAGTCATCTTAGGACCAAGCCAAGGAGCCTGAGAGACGGAATCACCCAGCCGTGGTGTCCGCATCCTCGAACGATGCGATGTGAATTGCCGTGCGGCGAGAGCACGATGCGCATGTCAAAGGCACACGGCACTGTGGCGATGCCATGTGGGCCGCAAAATAGTTTTACAACGGCGACTTGCAGCAGAGTGAGCGATGTTGAAGCCCGTTCAAGGGCGCCTGAAGCCTTAAGTCCTCTGCAACAGTTCCGAGAGATGGCAGACCCCTTACAGCCTGAGCCTTCCATGCCTGACCCTAAACCCAAAAAGTCTGAAGTCAACACGAAACCTGTTATCCAGAGCCACTAGCCCGGAATCTCATGCCATCCTCTTAATTTCCAAGTCCCGACACCTTAAGCCATGCCTCAACAGCCACAGAACTCTGATTCACAAAAGCGTATGTTTGTCATGTTGCCAAGGTCGATGACGACTGTGTGGGCTTTGCCTTTGTTGTGCTGCTCACCCGATACCAGAGCACCGAGGAGATGGCAGAGCAGGTGACCTCTTCGGGTTTGATTTCTTCGGGCTGAACTGCTGCAGAAGCCGGAGCTGCAAGGACGATGCGCCTTCAGCACCTCCCCGACACGGAAAGGTTCAACGTGTCACTGTGCCCCGGTGGGAGGCAATGCTCATCATGCCCTGGAAGATCGCGCTTGCACCAGTTAAGGTCAACGCAAACCACCCCAGCCCATGACCAGCATCTTGAACAAAGAAGTGCTTTCAGCTGCAAGGAAAGACGAGTATGATAATCTCCTTGCTTAGTTAGTTACACTGTATATTAACAGAACACGAACAGAAATACAAAGCATTAGTAATCAAAGATAAAAGTATCGGAATGATAAGGCAGTCGTCACCCCGCCTCCCCCTCCCCACCAGCCCTGTTGTGTGGGTGCTTCGGCTTGGTCAGCTCTGAATCGCATAATAAAGTACTAGTTAAATGAAATCACAACACGATGTTCTATCACATCGTAGAATGCTGCAGTATAATGTACGATATACCATACTTGACTGTGCTATAGTATGTGTGTTTGCTTTTCGGTCGTACTATATTGGATTACCATAGCTTTTTATGTTTCACACTGTCATGTTATGCTTTGCCACGGCATATTGAAGTGCTGCAATATGTTATACTTTACTAAGCCATGAGATTGGCATGTTCAGTGTTGTTATGGTGGGTTAGGTTTACTTATGCTATGCTATGTTATGTTATGTTCTTTCATGTTTGTTATGCTAAAGTAAGGTAGGTTATTTCATGGTATGTTACATTGTTATACTATGCTGATATGCGGAAAGTTATGACATAACTTATTGCATTTTATTCCGTCATGTGGTATTACCCTGAAGCCCATGGTGCAGCATTACATTTTCTTGTAGGGTATTCGAGTGCGTTGTGCGCTAACATGTTATATCATTCTTGTTTCACTTTATACTGTGTTGTACTATTTCATGATGTGCTGTTCCAAACGATGTATTGCTCTTAGTTTTTACTAAACAAAAGTATTTGGTACTGGTTTATACAAGATTGGTTTATACTATATCATTCCATGTTGTATCTAGTGAAATACCCAAAATATACTGTATTATGTTATATGATATGATAAAATCAATACTGTTTGTGACACATTGTTTGCATTTCTAATGTTTTACGCTACATCGTATCATGGCATGTTAATATACTATATTGCTTTATGTTTATCTTTTTGGTTTGAGTGCATTGTTACATTCTTATATTATACTGTTTCTGATCTTTTATTCTACTTCATGTGGCCGGCGGGCGTGCAGCAATGTCAGTCCTCTCGTTTCCCAAAAGGAGCAAGCCGATACAAAACAAAGGCCACCAAGGGATGAAGTGGTATGCCTTTCCTTTACCGTTGCAAGCAAGCACAGGTAATTGAGCCGGCAGTGCAAACGCCCGGTTGTTCCTCTATTGTCATCGATACCGTCGCCGTTGCTGTACGCAGCCTCTCGTCACCTTTGGAGTCCATACAACAGCAAATGTATGGAAACATTTGGAAACCCAGTTTGGTGGTTTTCTAAGCAGTGTCTCCTGTACAAGTAGTTGGTCTTGACACAGGAATGCCTATAATCTTGAAGAACTAAGCCCACAGAGCAAAAGCAGGTCGAAAACGTCAGCGTGGACGTTGCGCGAAAGCGTGTGTGCGAATTGCTGGCCAAGCAAGCTGCCAGCCCGGGCCCCAGCCGTCCGGCTGTGTGCCTGAGCCGAATTAGGAAATCAAATCAGAAGAGCGGCTTTTGGTGTGTGTGTGTGTGCGTGTATACATTTAGTTGGAGGGAGAGGGAGAGAGAAAGAGACAGAGAAACAAGAACACAAGTGAGGGATGATAAAAAAAAACACGAGAGCAGCTTTTAAGTAGATGCGTCGGTAAGTTGGGAGCAATCGGTTTCCTTGTAAAACGATGAGCGTAAAATAAAACGACAACGAAGATGTGCTACATCCTACAGTCCCAAAATCATCCAAAGTCCTGTAAAACGATAAGAGTAGAAAAACGATAGCCGGATTAAGGGTCAAGTAAATGGGTGGGGGTTTTCACGCACCCTCAAGTTGAACTGTGTACATATAAACGTACATACATATATGCACATATATATATATATATAATATGCGCATTCCCATGTATACACATATCAAAGGAGAGAGATGTACATATACACCCACACATAGCGTCATACATACAAAACATACACAACATAAGACTAAATGACATGACATTGCATGACATGGCATAAAACATAGCATGTCAGAAAACATCATGTCATGAGCTGGCAGAATTTAACATAACACATACATAATTTACATATACATATACATGTATACATGTATTTATACATACCCATACCCATACCCATACCCACACCCACACCCATACCCGCACCCATACCTGTACCCGTACTCGTACTCGTACACATACACATACACATACACATACATACACATGCATACATACATGCATACATACATGCATACAAACATGCATACGTACATACATACATACACAACACACACACACATACACGCACACACACATACACACACACACTCACACACAAACCTCTTCCTCAACCATCGCGCCACAGTCGTGAAAGCCCGCGTCCAAAGCCCCAAAGCTTCAGAACAGCCAAGGCTTCCAAACCATGTCTCTCTTTTGACAAAGTGACCGCCATGGACTTTTCTATGTGATCACAGTAAAAGTTCCTGATTTAACCAACACACCCAGCAGCTTAAACCGTGACTTCGGGAGCTGCAGGCGCGCGAGCCGGTGGGCTGGGTAACAGCGAGGAGTGCAGATTGCCGGGGTGTTTTCAAAACTGATGAGTTTACTCTTCATGGTTTTGGCGGCATAACGATCCCACGGGCTGTATGACTCGAAGAACTTGTCAGGGATTCCGAATGGTGTGTTGAAGCGGTTTAGGGTTGGGGCTGCTGACGATTAGGTGATGAAGGGCTCTTCTCGGGGTTTTGTATGATATCGCGCGTACTTTCTAGGCAATAGTGGCTTACGCATTAATAGCAACAACTACGTACACTGATAGCATTTTTTCGATATGAGCAGAAGGAAGAACCGGGAGAATAAGTGACACGTATTGGTTTAGATGAATAGAACCTGGTTCTAGACTCCATGCGAGGGTACTTTTTGTCCTGAGACTCGTACTGTGGGGGCCAGAATAAATACTTACCCTTTTGGGGTGGTTCCTTGTTATAGTTCTAGTATAATATACCCCAAAATCTTATTCTAATTGTGACGGCCCCTATAGTATTCGTTCCTGCCTTGCTTGGGCTTTGGAGGAAGACCCCTAGGCTCCATAATAGTTCTTTTGTGGATTACCTTTTAGGATTCGAAATTTGAACCACAAAATGAAACTACTATGGAGCCTCTAGGTGGTAAGAGTTCAGGACTTGTGGCCATGAGCCTTGGAGTTCAGGGTTTAATCGTGTAGCGATTTTGTGCCTGTCGCGGAAGCCTGCATGCGTCATGAGTTTGAAAGCGCGGAGAGCTCCAAATTAGCGCAGGGAGGCGGGGCGGGGGAGGGGGTGAGACCGAGGTCAGGTTTTGCTCAAGGACCTCAAGGCTTGATCATAAGAACAGCATGAACCCTGGACTTCAAAATGTGCGAAGCCGAAGCCATCGACCTGTGACCTTGTCAACCGTATGCCCTCACCTCGAAACTCTGCTTCTCTCTATCTCTCTCCCTCGCCCTCTCTCCCGCTCTTTTTGCTCCTGTCTTCTATAGATTTGTCTATTTGCCTACCTGTGTATAAACCTATCTGTATAGGCCAAAAAAGCATGCATGTGTGCTGCCGTAGCCCGTCGAAGAAGGATCTCGTTTGCCTGACCTCCGAGACGTTGAAGCTCCGATGTCCTATCACCATGGAGCGAGTTCAGGCATTCTCAGGGTTTGTTCTTCGGAAGGGGGGTGTGCAGTGTGTTTCGGGCTTACGATCTGGTCCTGTGCTTGAGCTTTCAAGTTTGGGGTCCCTTCGTAAATTCTCCAGGCTCCTTAGGCTGCACTTGCAGGAACCCTGAACCGCTTCAGTTCAGAGATGCGTGAGTCAAACGAGATTGAGTTCGCGACGGGTTTCGCTGTTGAGGCTCCGTCTTGATTTATGGTTTCATCTGAGAGCAACTTTGGGGTGTAGATGTGGGGTTTAGGTTTTTAGGGTTGTGGGGGGGGGGGGGGGCTGGCCCGGGGTTTCGTTTGGGGTCGAAGGGCCAGGGTCTGAAAGGTGTACTTGAATGGGCAGGGGACTTAGTAAGTAGGTTATAAGTAGAGCTACAAGTACCCTAAATGGAGTTACCCCAGTTATAACCCTACTTATAAACGACTTACTAAGTCCCCTGCCCTTCCAAGTAATGCAGTGGGACTGTCGGCAAGCGGTTTGGGCCGGGAGTCCCCGTTCGCAGCTGTCGAAGAACAGTATAGGGGCATACCATCCCCCTTATACTCTACGGGAACCTAATGGTACCTAATTTTCATAAAACAGATCCTAGCCATGGACCTAGGCACCCTGAAAAAGGGGTGGGTTTAGGGTTTACTCTCTAGGCAGAACAGTCGAGAAGACAGGAGAGAACAGCCCAAACTCCAGTCAGACTCTCACCTCGGAATTCTGGGGACATGCATCAGTGCTGCACTCGTAGTTTTGACATGAACAGCCTAGAACTTACCTTTGGTTAGTAGGGAATGGAGGAATGGGGTACAATTATATCTACGATTACTACCATTCTTCCATTCCCTGCTAACCAAAGGTAAGAGAAACCCTAAACGACCCTGGTCCCTGGATGTTCAATGGGGTGGTACTTGAAGCTGTTACCACTGTTCGTGCTTTCGAGAGGCATGAGGGCCAGGGGGTGATTCCTGTCGTAACCCCTAAACCCTAAACCCCTCAACCCCTAAACCCCTGTACCCTAAACCCCTAAACCCGTAACCCCTAAACCCGTAAACCCCTAAACCCCCAAGCCCCTAAACCCCTCAACCCCTAAACCCCTAAACCCCTAAACCCCCTAAGCCCCTAAACCCTTCAACCCCTAAACCCCTAAGCCTAAACCCCTAAACCCCCAAACCCCTAAACCCCTAACCCCTGAACCCGTAACCCCTAAACCCCCAAACCCTAAATCCCTAAACCCTAAACCCCTGAACCCTAAACCCTTAAACCCTAAACCAAATAAGGAGCTTCACCCTCCTAATTTCCTAGTGTCTCCGACCGTGGCTCTGAAGCACCAAGCTTGTGAACCCTAAACCCTAAGCCGCGAATGGCCTAAACCCTGAACCCTGTAAACAGAATGTTGCATGTTATATAACTTAAACCCTATAGGTTTTAGGGTGCAGGGTCTAGGGTTTAGGGTTTAGGGTATTAACCCTGTAAACAGAATGTTACATGTTATACAACGCCTGAACTGGGAAGCTCGGTGCTCTCAGGAGCCCGTCCGCGGGGACCTTTGTCAACACACGCAGAGACCTCAAAGGAAGCAGTAGGGAAGTGTAGGGTCATGACTGCTCTATAGCAACATGAACCTGGACTCAAACCCAAAACTAAACCTTGAATCCCAAGTCCTAAACTTGCTGGCTGTAGAGCGTCAAATTCTAAACAGAATAATTGGTTTTCCAAAGTTGAGTCCTGAATATGTTGGCCTTAAAACCCTCAACTCTGAACCCCACACCTGATAACTAAGTCTGAGACTTATCAAGCAAGCAGCTTTGGATAAACGCCAATAACAGTAACACTACTGATCTTAAGAATAAGAATAAGAATAACAACAAGCATCATGATACAGCGAATCATGGCGTTGCAAATACTTAGTAAATGCAATAACAACAGTAGTTATGATCATATTGTAAGTTGAAAAACCAATTAAAAGAGTAGCAAAACATCACCGAAATGAGAACAAGTAATACGAGTAGTACTAACAGTAATTGTAGTAGCAATAGTCGCACATGTAATACTCGCAGTTCCAGTTTTAACCACACTGATACTCACACTATACTTCGCTAGACTGTACTATCCTCCCAGGTGTGTTTTAGGGTTTAGGGCTTGTGTAAAGGATGTCGTTTCCAGGAGCCATCTTGAACCCTAGGACCTTCGTCAAGCAATCTCGGGCTTATCTCAAGGGTACTTAGACAAGTCTTCCTTTTGGGGTTACTATCATCCCTAAGAAGCAGCTAGAATCTGTTTTTTTTGCTAGGGGTCTAAGTTCAGTACAGCAGCTGTCTGGGAACTTTCTTCTTACTCGGCGGTGGCACATCACCGCCTCTCTCAATCTTCACACACAAGACAGCCAGTTGAAACCTTAAGCCCTAAACCCTAACACGAAACCCTATACCCTAAAGCTCTTTTCAGCTCCAAGGCAGCCCGAACACGCCTAAATGTGAAGTCCTACATGGGAGCCGCTGAGGCAGTGCTTCAGCCTGAAAGCATACATGACCAGCAATCGCAACGTCACTTGGCCGCAGACCTTCTAGAGGTTTAAGGTCTAGGGTTTAAGGTTCAGGGTTTCTAGGGTTTAGGGGATTCCGGGCCTATACGGTTTACGATAGCAGGGGCGGTGGGGGGTGCGATGTAGAGGTCGGAATAACTACCAATCATATTCCTTGGGGTCCTTTTGAAATTCATATTTTACTACACCTCAAAACCCGATTTTAACTATTAAGCTCCCTACTACATTAGGGCTTCCCGCCTATCTCGAAAAGAGCTTGCACTTTCAGGGACCCCCTTAGACTGGAACCCTAGAATTAGCCCGAGTCAGATCGAACATGACAACCACCATTGAGGCGTAGGCTTTTGCGGCTACTGTTCAAAGACACTACGATCGACGGTTAGTATTCGATGAAGGGCGTCCTGGGCAACTTCAAACGAGCAGTCACAGTAATCAGCAATACTCATGTCAATAGATATCAGGTTTATTTAGGGTTCAGAAACCCTAAACCCTAAACCTCAGGGTAGGTGTTTCAAGTTTCCTGACTGCGCCATGATCAAGCGTGGTCGCACCTCGCATGGTGACGTGTTCTGCAACTCCCTTTCACATGCTTTCGAGAAGGCCCTGGGCCGAGCAAAGCCGGCCCGAAAGCAACATGAAGCCAGGTAGGGCTTTGGGACATTTTATATTTTCCCTTATTGGGCTTAAGAGGATCTTATTTACTAATATTTTTCAAAGGCTTTAAAAGCCCCACCTAGGAAGCAGGTGGTTTCAGAAGATGGTGTCCTTCAGCTAGAAGTACTGCCAATAAAGATATTTTTTCAGGATCTTGATGAGATTCCCTTGTCTTTGGAACTCTCACTCACACGATGCTTGAATTTGTCAAAACGCTCATGAGCCGCCTCTAGTATAGGGGCCCTATCAAACTTAGACTAGGAAGTTGGGGCATGCCAGAAGGTGACTATACAGGCCAATGTAGGGGGAGATGATTATAGCATTGAGGCTTACATCAATAGCAGCACAACTAGTTGTTTATTCTTCACTCTTGACTTGTTTCCGCTGTGCAGCAACAGTTGTTCTTTGATTAAGATACCCCAAAACCCTAAACCCCAAAACCCTAAACCCTAGATTAAGATTCCCTAAACCCTACGCCCTGAAGCCCCAAGCATCCCAAAGCCCGGATATGGGAGTGTCCGAAAATTAGAGGTACTCTATTTGGGGATCCTTATAATAAGGATCCAACTATTCAGGGTACTATATTAGGATCCCCTATTTTGGGAAACCCCCATATCTCAAAATCTGCCAGATGGGCGCCTTTAACCGCAGATGGCTTTGTCCTCTCTGCCGCTCGGGCTGAGCGTTTAGAACCAGGGTTTTTTGCGTGTAAGGGTTCCAAGTGGCTTGAGTGTCGTGAAGTGGTAACCAAGGCCTCGTATTTGCTGTTGCTTGAAGGGTGGGAAGCTTGCACTTCGTAAGTTGGAAGCCGTACTTGGAGGGGCAGGGGACTTAGTAAGTAGGTTATAAGTAGAGTTATAAGTACCCTAAATGGAGTTACCCCAGTTATAACCCTACTTATAGACGACTTCCTAAGTCCCCTGCCCTTCCAAGTAGGACATGGGATCTGGGGCGTCCGGCCGCCAGTTTCACATGTCACCTTCAGGGCATAAGTAAGCGAGGGGATGTATGGTTAAGCGGTATCAGGCTTCCATAGCGTGTTCTATAGGGTTCCGTGTTATGGTCCAGATGTTTAGAGGAAAATATTCATGTTCGGAACCAGACAGCCCCCCATCAGCATTTTAACCAGCCGTGCGTAACATGTGCTTCCTATAGACATTTCCTCTTACCTGAAACCCCACACCTTTCACCAAATCCCGGCACCTAACAGAATATCGCTCAGGCTCACTGCAACCAAGAGCAGGGTTTAGGGCTCAGGGCCAATAGGGTTTGGGCTTTTCAGATTCTGGTTTCTGCTGCATACCACAAGAGACATACTCATCAGCTCAGCTTCTGTGTAGCGTAAGGTAAGGGAGGTGCAGAAAGAAGTGCCAGGATTATAGAAGTCATCCGACGCTCCAAACCTATTCGAAACCTCGCCAGATCCCTGCAACCCTTGCTTCAGCCTTTGTCAGGCCTGTCTAGGGCCTGCGGCCTTATCAAGAAAAGGCTGTCAGCCTCCTGAAATCTTCAAAGCTGTCACGGGTTCCCAAAGGCTTTAATCCTAAATCCTAAACCCTAAACTCTCAACCCTAAACCCTAACCTCTAAACCCTGACCGTCAACCCTAAACCCTCAACCCTAAATTTCCAGGCACCCAGACTCTGCGCCCTTGGGATTTGCGTCGCGACGCCTACGTCGCTGAAGTCTTGTCCTCGACGTCTGGAGCTCAGGTGTGTTGAAACCGAGGAGGGAGTTTCTGAAAATTAGGTTTTAGGGTTACGGCTTAGGAGTCCTACTATTTAGGGCGCTATATTATATTGGGGTCCCTTATTTAAAATAAGTGAAAATATAGAATTGTCGGAAACTGGTTTAGGGTTTAGGGCTTAGGAGTTTCCGAAAAGAAGGGGCACCTTATTTTGGGGTCCTTCTAATCAGGATCCTACTATTTAGGGTGCTATAGTAGTAGGGTCCCCTACTTCAAACAGGAGAAAATAGAATTTTCGGAAACTCCCAGCAGAGTTTAGAGTGGTTTAGGTTTAGGGTTTGGACTTTCGGGGTCGGGGGTTTAAGCGTTTTTGCAAAGTGAGGGTTTAGGGGTTAGGGTCTACAGGGTTTTACCCAGAGGGTCATACCCCTTTTTGGGATACCTAGTTTTATGGTTAGGTTCTGCTATATAGAAAAGTAGGTACCTGAAAAAATGGGTAGAGTATGACCCTATAGGTAGGGGGCAAGGGTGTATGGTTTTGGGTTCAGGGGTTGACGCTTGCTTTTGCGGGAGGCCAGCCACTCCTGTGGAATTAGCAGGTTGTTTTTGTGTGTAGACCACGAAAACTATCCCAAAGGGTTCAAAGTACCGATACAGTAGACTGTATGGTCTCTATATTAGGAATTGATACTCTTATAATATGGAGAAGTATCCCCCAGAACAGTACCTAAGATCCTGGCAACCCCAGATGCCAACTGGAGCGTCGGCGAGTCTATCGGGACAAGCAGGGTTCGAGGTTCAGGGTTTAGGATTTAGGGTTTGGGTTTAGGTTTAGGGTTTAGGGATTAGGACCATTCATTGTGGCAGGTTTTATGACCGAGTTTCGGCAGGGAAGGAATGGTGCGACTAGGGTGCCTTGCAGGAACAGAGGCTCCGATGTCGGGGTTGAGGGTGTTTAGGAGGCTCCCAGAACTCTGAAACGAGGACATCCAAACCCCTAAGCCAGTCTGAGTCCTTCAAATCGAAGCCTAGAGCAATTAGTGAGCCAGTTTCTCATGAATCCCAGAGTTTAGGCTCTACCTGCGTTGTTTCCTGGTGCAACTCCTTATTTAGGCTTTCATAGTAGACTCGAAGTGTAGTATTACGTACCCGAAGTGCTTTTTCTGATCATGAAGGCCCCGTTGCCGAAAGGCTCCACGTACCTTTATAGTAGATACTTAAGCCTTAAAAGGGGTCCCTATATCGGTACTCTAAGGCTTAAATATATACTATATTGGTGGTTGTCAAAATTGGGGTTCCTTTTTGGGCACCCTAGATAAGCTAGATAATAGGTGCCGTATGTTAAGAGGGACCCAAAAAGGGACCATAATTCTGACAGCCACCTATATGCGTACGTGGAGCCTTAGGGTTGATAACCTCCGAGCCGAAAGCCCATCAGCTCCCAGCCCTGAGACTTCCGCACTAAACCTGGAAGAGTCCCGAGCCCTTAACACCAAATTCTGTTCTGTGCTGGGTTCTCGTTAAGAACCTTATTTTAAGTTACGATACTAAGGATCTAGAATACATACATGCAAGCAATACGGTTATCGTTTTTTTCGCAATTTGAGTAAACTCCTTGACAAGAGCCCAGTTCAATGAACAGTCTCAACAACACATCCTTCAGCATCAACCCTAAACCCTAAACCCTAAACCCTACACTCCAAAGCGTCGTCTTTTTTGAGGCCACGTGATGCAGAGGAGGTGGGGCTGGCCGTCTTTTTTGATCCTCTCGTTGGTTTAGGGTTTAGGGGTTTAGGGTTTAGGGGTTTAGGGTTTAGGGGTTTAGGGTTTAGGGTTTAAGGGTTTAGGGTTTAGGGTTTAGGGGTTTAGGGTTTAGGGTTTAGGGTACTAGGACCTAGAGTAGGCCCTTATTCCCTTTTTAAGGGTTCAGGTTCCCTTATTTAGCCCCTTTAAACCACCCAAAAAGGGCACCCTTTTTTTTTCATAGGTTACTCTTAGGTCTAGTTTACTCTCCATAGTAGTTTCTTTTTTGTCTTGCCTTGTAGGACCTAAACGGAGGCTCTAGGCAGTTTAGGCTTTGTTGAGAGGTTTGTTTCAAACGTTCCAACCAACCCCGATTCCAATGTTTTGAGGCGGAGGCTTGTCACAAAAGGTGACACATGTTTTAGCTCGTGCACGTTTGCAGGTCTTATACCTGGCAACCATTGACTCCAGCTCCGACTCGCTAGCGTTAGCCTGTTGAAGAGAATTGGTTAAGTTGATATTTGCCACAGCTAAACCCTAAGTCCCACACACGCTGCCAAACCGGGCGGAAGGTCCTCGTCAACTCTGACGGCAGTTGGAGGCAGCCTGGCCAGACCGAAACCCCTAAACCTTTATCTCTAATCCGTAGAAGCAGTCAAGGTTCAGGGTTTGAAGTTTCGGAGTGACGAGACGGGTTTCGCTGGACCTCGGCTTTCACAAGTGGCTGGAAGCCCTCACTCTTCAAAGGTGTCGGGTGCAGGGTGGGCTTCGGCTGCCTTCCTCCTCCGACGAGCAGACACCATGAGCCGAATGATGCCCTCAATTCCACCCACAAGAATGACAAGATCCCCGAAATCCTAAACTGCACTTCTATCCCCTTTCCCGGCCTCTTACCACTGCGGTGCCCACGCGGACAACATCGTTAATCTTCGATGACGAAGACATCGACCACGACTTCTCCTGCTACAAGTGCTGTTTACTACTTCTACAACCACCACCATCACCACTACCGCCACCACAACGATGAACATACAAGTTTTGCTACCACCACCACTACTACTACTACTCCTACTACTACTACTACTACTACTACTACTACTACTACTAGTACTACTACTACTACTACTACTACTACTACTACTACTACTACTACTACTACTACTACTACTACTACTACTACTACTACTACTATTACTCCCACTCCTACTCCTACTCCTACTCCTACTCCTACTCCTACTCCTACTCCTACTACTACTCCTACTCCTACTCCTACTACTACTACTACTACTACTACTACTACTACTACTGCTACCACGATGCAACGACGACTGGATCTGGCTCTGAGCCCCACGCCCTCCACCCGAAAACCCCAACCCAGGGCTTGCCGCATTCCTTTTGTCCGGATTTCAAGGTATTAGGGTGTTTTCTGTTTTTTTTGGTGGTTTAGGGCTTATAGTTTATAGGGTCTAGGGTCTTGGGGTGTATGGTTTTTTGGGTTTATAGTTTTTAGGGTTTAGGGTTCTAGCGTCTTAGAGTTTAGGGTTTATGGGGTTTATGGGGTTTATGGCTTATGGGTTCTAATTAGGGTCTTAGGGCTCAGAGAGCTTAGGGTTTTTGTGGGTTCAGTTTAGGGTCTCAGGACTACTGGCGGCGACGGCGGCGTGAGGGACGGCCCCGGCCCTGGGAACACGCGTGTTCAGCTTGCGTTTCATCGTGGTTTCCCGTTTCAAAGGGGAAAGGAGGGACCCTTAATGGGGACCCCTACCCTATAATGGGCTATATAATGGGTATATAATAGCTATATTACGGAGTTTAGGGTTCAGGTTTCGGGTTTCCGTGTAGCGATCTCCAAAAGCCGGTCGGCTGATGTTCTCTGCGAGGGGCATCCTCCGGCGTGCCTTGACCGAGGATCCCTTCAGTATCGGGAAGAGCACGGATTTAGGATTTATGGTTCAGGGTACGACCTAGTTCGCCCTATGTGTGTGTGTGTGTGTGAAGGTTGTGGGAGCATGTACGAGTCGTCGCTGTCTTTTTGGTCCCACTAGCAGAACAAGTTTGCTGGTGGCTGCTGTAACCATGAGGCCGTCTGATAGTTCCTAGCAGCAGTGGCACTTCTCAGCAGGAAGAGCAGCAATAATCTCACTCACCCCACAAGCAACGGCAATCGTCGCAGAAGCGTGGAAATGAACCCGAAACCCGACCTGGACCCGAAAGTTAAGTATTACAACAGCCTTTTGTAAGTGGTGTGCTGTTTTTTTCTACTTTTGGGGAGTCTAGGTAAACCCTAAACCCCTAAACCCCAAAACCCTAAACCTTAAATCCCGAAACCCCTAAACCCCTAAACCCTAAACCCCATACCTAAACCCCTAAACCCTGAATCGCCTTCCAACTTCCTCTGCTGCCAGACAGCCCAGCGTCTGATGAGACGCTACAGGGAGAGAGACCTGTGATCACCAACGTAGAGGCCGAACGCTCTTCTGGGTTCTTGTTCAGGATTTCATGTAGGACCATAAAAGGGATCTATACCTAGACCCTCCTTCTACCCTCTATTACCCAAATACCTACTATAAGGCACCACATACCCCTGTTTGAGGGTACAAGAAGCGTCATGATAGTAGATACTTGTAATATAGTTTCCCCTGAACCCTAAACCCCTAAACCCTAAACCCCCTAACCCTAAACCCTAAACTCCTCAACCCTAAACCCCGAAACCCCTGAACCCTTAAACCATAAACCAACGTAGAGCAGTTGGAAAAGGGCCCACAAACAAAAAAAAACAAACGTACAGGCCGGATGCTCTTGCTGCGAGGTCTTTCGGATTTGAATGTTCGGTCGAAGGTGTCCGCAATAGCCTTGCCAGAGATAGGTTGAGAGGCAGGCTCTTTATGGGTGGTTGTCAAAATTAAGGCCCCTTTTGGTGTACCCTATATATTAGGTGCCGTACTTTAATAGGGACCCAAAAAGGGACCATAATTTTGACAACCACCCATATGGCTTTAGGATTTCGGGCTTAGGGTGAAGTTTGGGGATTTAGGGATTATAGGGTTTAGGGACTAGGGCTTATAGGGTTTAGGGTGAAGTTTAGGGGTTTATCAAAGGGGAAAAGGAGGGACCCGTAATAAGGACCCCTAGGTATATACCCTTCATATAGCTATTATATACCCATTATGTAGCCCATTATAGGGTAGGGGTCCCCATTAAGGGTCCCTCCTTTTCCCCTTGGAGATTGGAAGTCGCAACTTCAACAGAGTGTGGTTTGCGAGCGAGCGGCTCAGTCCTTCAAGCGCTGTGAGTTGGATTGACCTCCCGTGCTAAAGCCCAAGCCTCTGAGTCTAGAAGCCCTAACCCAAAGGCTCCATGTACCCTTACAGTAGATACTTCAGGCTTAAAGATGTCCATATATAGGTACTTTAAGGTTTAAGGTACATGGAGCCTGTGGCTAAGGGCTCTAAAGCCCCTAAGCCTTCGAAGCCCAAACCTTTAAGCTCAGAAGCTCGAAACTCCAAATCTTGAACCTAAACACTATACCCCAGACTTTCTGGACCTTATACTTTTATGAACCCTAAACTCTTATGAAGGAGACTGTGGACTTGGATTCGCCAATGCCGTCTCCTTCGCATGAACCTGCTGGTCCAAGGCACTTTTGCCTCGGCTGTATTTGGGTTTCCTGCAAGGGTTCTTAAAGGGCTCTATTGGTTCCTGATTCATCAGGTGAGTGGATCTATGAGGTTAAAGGTTTTCGGGTTCCAAAACTCTTGATCTGGGGGTTCAATGGGTCTCGATAGGAGCACGATTCAGCGAGTTTGGCTGTTGCAGGTGCCAGTGTCAGAGTGTAGAGAGGCTCCTGCGGAGCGTCGGATCTGTAGTGCTTAAAGTACTAGTAAGATATCAGAATAAGGTCCGTTTATGCATATCAGTAGTCATGGCCATAAGAACAATAGTCAGTAGTCATAGTAGCAATACTACCGTACTATACTAATCGTAACAATAAAAAGAAGCTGTAATTTGTTTCGTTCTACTTGGAAGTTGACCGTCAGCACTCGAAGTTGATAGGCAGCTTTAGTCCTGGTAGTCCTAAGACTCGTAGCTTAGTGCCACGGGCCATTGCATAAGTAGCTATCCCAACGCCTAGACCCTCTAAATCCCAAAGCTTGAAGTCCTAAGCCCTATAACCCATAAACCCTCTAAGCCCGAACGTTCAAGCCCTACCTTAACCCTGAATGACCTACCTTTTTGGGGTTCCTTGTTATGGTTTCTTTATATACGTCCTTAAAAAATCTAGGTTCTTCGGGGTTAAGGTGAACCCTAAACCCTCTAAGCCCGAAACCTTGAAGCTCAAGGTTTCTTGGGGCGGAAGACTTTAGGTAGTTGTAGGAGCCTAAAAGGATGCTTCAGTTCTTCTCAAACTCGGCTTGTATTGTAGCCTAAGTATTTGGCGGGGGTAGGGGTTTAGGGTTTAGGGGTTTAGGGTTTAGGGGTTTTGGGTTCAGGGTTTAGGGGTTTAGGGTTTACGGGTTTAGGGCTAGGGTTTAGGGTTTAAGGGTTTAGGGGTTTAGGGTAGGAAAGTTATTGGCATGGTGGTGAGAATCTTACCTAGGGCTGCACGATACCTAGTCTATATGGGAGTTTCCCAAAAAAGGGGACCCTACTATAATACCCTGAATAGTAGGATCCTTATTACAAGGACCCCAAAATCAGGTAGCCCTAATTTTCGGAAACTCCTAAACCCTAAACCCTCTCTAGAACTCTTTTTGACCCGTTTAAGGGAACCCTTAAAGGATCCCTTTGAAGTCTATACGTCTACATGTAGAGCGTAGAGGTCCCCTATGGCTTTGGGAGTGGAGGCTTGTGCTCCAAGTTTTGGCTGTTGGGCTTTGACGTAGGGCTGTAGGGTTCAACTAAGCCTGCACGTAAACCCTAATCTAAACTCTAAGCTCTATACCCTAAAGCCCTACACCCATAAACTTTAAACCCTATAAACCCAATAAGCTATACTAATACTGTACACCCTGCAGACCCTGAACCGTATAAACAAACCTAGTGAAGGCTTGTGCGTGGTTCTGAAGGCCACTCCAGCCCGCAAGCCCGGATCGGCGAGCTTAGCTGACCTACTCTAGGGGCCTGAGGACTGGGTGATGCTGGTCCCCTCGCATATGGGTGGTTGTCAAAATTAGGGTCCCTTTTTGGATCTTAGTATAGTACGGCACCTATTTATTTAGGGTACCCAAAAAGGGACTTTGATTTTGACAACTACCCATATGTACATACATAAATACATATCATGCATATAAGTGTGTATGTGTACATATACACACACATACACATGTACAGGCCGTAGAACATACCCCAACAGTCCTGTCCGGGTTGTCGAGGCCTATCTTAGAATCCAAGCCGAGCAAAAACGCGGATCCTGCGGCCCTAGCCTACAGCCATACGAGGCCAAAAGGTGGGGTTCCCATAATAGGGTTAATATTAAGGAATCCCTGCCCCAAGAATCTTAAACCCCCCTTTTGGCCTCCCATCATACCGCAGGCTGGAATCCTCGCCGTCCGGACAAGAGCCAGAAGCGTGCGGCTTGAGTGGAGGCTCTGCAACTTTGGTGTTACTACAACCTGATAAAGCCCAACCGTCGAAAGTCAGGCTAGCAGACAGAACCCCCAAAAGCCTCAAACCCTAAACCCTAAACCCTATACACCATAAAGCCTAAACCCTAAACCCTATACACCCTAATCTCAACTCCCTAACCCCAAAGCTCTCTTCCAGGCGCGCTCCCAGAATCGCCGGTAAAAGCTCCAGGCCTGGGAGTATAGGATTTAGGGTCGAAAGGGTTTGGGTTTCAGGGTTTGGTAATTAAGGGTTTAGGGTTTAGGATTTCAGGGTTTGGGGTTTTAGTGTTTAGTAATTTAGGGTTTAGGGTTTAGGATTTCAGGGTTTGGGGTTTCATTAGGGTTAAGGATTTTGGGGCTTAGGGTTTAGGGTTCAGGGATTAGAGTTTCGAGTTTAGCAGGGGTACTCGAGGTGAGAAGCCAAGGCAAGGCGCTGAAATTGAATCCATCCGGGCTTCAGGGTTTAAGGGTTTAGGGTTGAAAGTAGTTTTCGGCACGGTTTTTGGGTGCGCGGTGTTTTGGCTTGAGGCTTTTTTTGCGGTTCTGGAGTGCTTGGGTTTGGTGGTAGGACTGCTTTGTATGTTCGTAGTGAGGATCGGTAGGGCTTAGTTAGAGTTTCGGGTTGTGGGTTCGGAGAGGATTTGCCGGTTTGATGGGTTGGCTAAGACACGTCTTGCAACCGCTAGTGTTATCAAACAGACGTGAATGTTGGTTGAGGGTTTATACTTACTGGGGCTCAGGCTGTTTCGGGAAGCTTGGGAAGGGCATGTTCGAAGCTACTTGAGCCTGGATCTTTAGGAAACAGCCCCCTGTCAGCACTGGCAACACCAGATCGCACCAACAGTAACAGATGATTCGAGCGAATCCGCAGACAGTGCCACAATTAAGGCTCCACTTACTTAAATAGTAGGTTGCTAACCATCTATTGGGTTCCCCACTAACCAAATCTAGGTAACCGGAGCCCCACAGAATGCCAAACCCGAGCCTAGTCAGTGAACCTCACAGTCGAAGCAACAAGAACACCCTTGAGCCGTTTGGGAAGAGCATCCTAACACCCCCAGGGCCCGAAATCGGAAATCTTCAGGCGAACCGTTCGGCCAAGCACCAAAAAGCTGGCACAAGAGAGAGACAGAGAATGACAGAGAGAGAGATTGCAGCATAATGTATCCACAAAGCCCGATTGACCCTAAACCCTAAACCGGCCTTACTTTAAGGCCCCGTCCCATAACCCTAAACCCTAAACCGGCCTTTATTTAAGGCCCCGTCCCAGGCTCTCCAAGTTCGGGCCCGAGGACGCCGAGTGGCCCTCGTCGTACGGAGGAGCCCGGATGTTGGGAGCTCATCTTTCTTGGTTTAGGGTAAATAGATATAGGGCTTATACGGTTTGAGGGTTTATAGGGTTTTAGGGTCTTATAGGGTTTAGGGTTGCGGGGCTTGCAGGCGAAGGGCAGAGGCGTTCAGGGTTTTGAAGTGTTTGAGCGGGGCTTTAAGGTTTCCTAGGCTGTAGAGGTTTAGGGGAGGGGTTTACAGGGATTGGGGGGTTTATAGGATTCCGGATTCAGGGGAATCGGTTTGGGGTTTTTAAGAGCTTATACAGCATAGTACGAGAGTAAGATGCAAAATTGGACGACATGTCAGTCTCCGGGCACAACATATGTAGATGCCGAAAGAATAGCAGCTCAGCCTTATCGTATTGCAGCATACTCCAAAATATCTTCGAAATAGTGAAGGCCCTTCGTTAAGCTCTAACATCCTCCATGCATGTGTTCAACTCCCCAAACCTGAAGCCCGAGGCGGGCGCCCGCGTCTTCTCCTCGACAAGCTGTCGTCGGCCGGGCGGCCAGTCGCAGTAGGAGCAGGAGCAGGAATAGAAGGAGTGTGCATATTGCGTTTCAGTACTCACGGGGAAGCCTGAAGTGCTTCTGCTGGCCGGGGATTTAGGGCAGATAGACACACAAACGCGCCAAAACCTCAATATTTGTACACCCCCGTTAACTTCATACCGAGACCACTGCATGTAGCTTCTGCATTGGCTTTGTTGATGTCGGGCCCAACCAACAACATGTTTTATCCATCCACCCAAAAAGCATTGCAGTTCCGGAGACCTCGGCATGGACGGAGGGGGGGCCTTATGTAGAACATTTCCCACTTGTTTGCCTCCGCTCCCGCAGCCGACCAAGCAGGGTGCTCTCAGCGCGGTCTCGACTCCGAAAGCAAGAAGCCTGATAGGTGATGTCACGAATAGAAGGAACATTGAGTTTGAACACAGTTTAAGAGTATGAAGTTGTTCACCCACGACATAAAATGTCACAATGTCTTCAGTTGGTTTGGAGGTTCATCCTATCTTCAAGTCTTGTGCTCCAACGAGTTCAGCTTGCAAGAGATCGTTGAAGGTTTCAGATACACACTTGCGGCTGAGAGCTCCGGGATTCGTGGTTCTGGCTGAGGGCTCCGGGGTTCGGGCTTCTGTTAGAGATTCGTCCTTTCGCGCCTTCGCGATGGTGGCAATGCTCATCGGGAGCTTCGTCCCTGCTTTCACAGGGATGGAGGGCATGTCTACTCTTACGACACAGCAGCTCTCCTCTTTAGCAGATCCAGGGCTTCAGTGTGCAGGAATTGATAGGGTTCACGGTTGAGGGGTTTAGGGTTCAGAGTTCAGGGGTGGTTTAGAGTTTTGGGTCTAGGATTAAGTTTTGGGGCTTCGGGTTTGCTTCTCGGGGCTTGGAGTATACAGCAGACCATGATTGTAGTTTGTGGGACGCTGGGGTTGCCGGGTTACTCAGCCCTGAAACCCTAAACTTTTAAACCACTAAACCTCAAGCCCTGAAAGCCTAAATCCATCTTGTTGTCATTGCGCGGTCAGGTCGTCCTCCGGTTGTGCCGGGGGAGCATGGTTTGAAACAGCCTGCCCTAGACTTCGGAGTAGAGTAGATTGCCTTTAACTTTTTTGGTGGCACTACACGGGCCTCTATAATGTTCTGGAATGGTTTATGAGTTCACGGGGGTCCTGAGCAGTAGAGTAGCTGGCCTTTCACTTTTTCGGTCTACTGTTGCCGCTGTCTCATCTCAAAAATTGTTAACCTCTATAAGACCCAGAGTAGGCCCTTATTCACTTGTTTAGGGTTTAGGTTCCCCTTTAACCGCCTTTAAACCAAAACGGGCACCCTTTTTATTCCTAGTTTACTCTACGGTCTACACCTTGAGTCCCCCAGGATACTGGACAAGAAAGCCCTTGAGGCTCCAAGCTTAGGGTTCAGGAGTGAGGGGCAGGGTATAGGAGCCAGAAAACTCGTGTAATGCGGTGTACTGTTATTCCTTGAGTCCACAAGGTTCCTATGATGCTATTCCTCAAGTCCTTAAGCTTCCTATTATTCTATTCCTTAAGTCCTTAAGGTTCCTATACTGCTATTCAGTGAGCCCCTAAGGTTCCTATGATGCTATTCAGACCCGTATTCTACAATCCGAGGAGTTCCGGGCTTACTTGTTCACGCCTTTGATGCGTGGGTTTACCGCTTCACTGTAGCATCACAGACATCCCAGCGTATGTTTGTGATTAAGCCCAACAAGTTTTAGGCTGAGGGCTGTTTTTTCGCAGCGGGTCTTTTCGGTCACGGGTTGATGGATTTACGGCGAATTCGTGTTCAGGTTTGGCGTAGGAGCGCTGCAGAACCCACCTCAATGAAAAGAGAACAACAATGGGCTTGTGAATCTCAGGCATGTACGAGCAGTACAAGTCCCGCCCGTGCAAGTCCCGCCGGTGCAAGTACCAGTGGCGCAAGTACCTCCAGTGCAATATGGTCCTGGAGGCATCTGCTCGTCATGATTCTCGTTTCAGAGCTCGGATTTCTCTACGTCACCATCGACACATCCTAAAGCACGGTCGCTGCAACTGCTCTTGCGATTTGCATTGCCACCACCACCACCAGGCACCACCACCACCACCACCACCACCACCACCACCACCACCACCACCACCACCACCACCACCACCACCACCACCACCACCACCACCACCTTTGCTGCCTCCTCCTGCATACTTCACGCTTGCAACTGCCACAATACTGTTGAATCACTGTTGTTGCTGCTACTGATTTGGTCAGCCAATCTACCACCAGTAAGCAATGCTGTCACCGCTACTACCTACTGCCGCTACCACTATTGCTGCTGCTTGCTCCTCCTCGGTCGTGGTGATGCTGGTGGTTGTGGTGGTGGTGCTGCTGCTGGTGGTAGTGGTGGTGGTGGTGGTGGTCGTGGTGGTGTTGGTGGTGGTGGTGGGGATGGGTTATTGCTGCAGGAGTAAGTAGTTTCCTCGTCCGCGTCCTCGTCACTGGTCGTCGTCGATATCGTCGTTGTCTTTGTTGTGAGTCGTGGAAGTTTGTTCAGGCACAATAGTGGCAGTAGCAGCAGGAGGAGTGAGTGGGGAGGAGGAGGAGGAGGAGCAGCGGACGAGGAGAGCCAGAAGGAGGTAAAGATCAAGATGAGAGGAGGGGGAGGAAGAGGAGGAGGAGCATCAGCTGCAGCTAGCAGAAGGAGAACCTTGAACCCTAAACCCCTAAACCCTACACCCCAAACATTAGCTAAGTTGCTCTCCTGAGGCCTCCCCAATCATCCATCACTCAGGAGTTCTCCAACTTCAGAGCCAAGGCCAAAGCCCGAGTCCAGAAGCCAAGCATGGAACGCCCTAAAGCTCTAAGGACTCATATGGGTAGTTTTCAAAATTGTGGCCCCTTTTGGGGTACCCTAAATATTAGGTGCCGTACTATATTAGGAGTCGAGCCCAAAAAAGGGACCATAATTTTGACAACCACCCATGTATTAAGGCTTTTGGGCCTAAAGACCATATTATATCGAGTAGGTAACCTGTAACCTTTTTTGGGGTAGTGTAGTCCCTATATTACCCCTATATAAACGAAAAGGTTAAGCTTTAGTTCCCCATGATACCCGACAAGTAGGGAATGCACTGGCGAGGCTTTCGGTCCATCGCGGTTCCTGGGACCAACGCGATGCACAGCTTCCAGCCCCCTGCCCTGGCACAGCCTATCGCCCAGCCCCCTGCCCTGGCCTTTGCCAGTATGCCCATGCCCCTCCCCCAGAGCTCTCATCCCCCAAGCTACGTCCCCGTCGCTGTGGCTCGACCGGCAGCACAGCCGCAGCCCGTGACCGCAGCGATGCCGAGCGCCAGTGTCCGGGCAAGTTCCGCTGTCCGCTTGGGAGCCCGAGCCCCCACAGCACAGCTGCCACAGCCGCAGCTCCCCCAGCCCAGCCTGCATCATCCACGGGGAACCCTCTCCACATCCCCTCTCTCCGACCCCTTCCTCCCCACCCCGCACGCCAGGGGAACCATCTCCACATCCCCTGCCTCCGAAAACCCTTTCCTCCGGAACCTGGGCAGCCCCATCAAGGACTGCTTAAAGGAACCCTAAGCCTAAACCCTTAAAGGAACCCGGAAAGAAGCCCTGAACCCTTGAAGGAGCCATTAAAGGAACCCTTTAAACCCTTAAAGGACTCGGTCTTCGGGAGCCCGCTGAAACACTCGGCTTTTGGGTCCCCCGTCGCAGCTCGGATGCACTCTGAAGCAGCTCTTTGAAGCCCATTGCTACGGCATTAACTCCCAGACAAAAGTTCATGGGTAGCCTAAAAATGCACTTCAATTACAAGGATTATGCGCGCCTTATTTGGGGATTATAAGCCTCCTGATATAGGTAAGGGACTTAGGCATCTCAAGCTCTGAGCCGATTCTCCCGTCCCTCATACTATGAACTATTCGCAAATATTGAGGCCCCCTATACTAAAGCCTACCCCTAAACCCTCGCAACCCTCAAGGGAGACTAGCTCTCCGTGCTCTGATCAGTCGAAGGTCACCCTAATTCCGACAAACCCCAGACCCAGAGACTCCAATCCTCCTTGATTAGGGAATATACCTTAAATCCATATTAAGGATCCTACTATAATTTACGGTATAATCATTAAGGGATATTGGAGTCTCTGGGGAATCCTTAAACGCCAGGCTGGGAGCCCGTATTTCAACAGCGCCGGGGAGTTCAACTTTCCCTTCACGGCCCCGGCCCCTGAGCTGTCGGCGGAAAGATTTTCAGAGAGTGTGCGGAGTTTCAGGGGTTTAAGGGGTCGAAGATGGTCTGAGGAGTTTGGGAGGGTTTAAGGAGTTTAGGTGTTTCAGGGGATTTCCGGGCTTTCGGGTGGATTAGGGTTTGGTAGTTCGTCGGCTTAAACGTGAAGCCTAAACTGAACCTCAGCCGTAGGCCTTGAGGCTTGACGCAAATCTATCATCACTAACCCTCAACCCTAAGACCCTATAAACCTAAACCTTTCTGCATCTCGTTTTCAACAGTCCAATGTCCCGAAGTCCTTAGCCGGCCACATCCGAAGCCTCTGAAGTCCGGACGCTTCGCCGTAAACCCTCGACTCTCAAGGCCCCCTGAACCCTATAACACCTGACCTGAAACCCTAACCCTTAAAGGCCTGCAAGCCCTGAATCCTGAAGGTCCAAAGCCTAACCTGAAAAAAACTAAACCCTGGTCACCCTCAACGCTAAATACAAACACTAACCCAAAGGCTCCACACACTAACCCAAAGGCTCCATGTACTCATATGGTTGATACGTAAGCCTTAAAGTACCTACATATGGATCCCCTTTAATCCTTAAGTATCTACTGTAAGGGTACATGGAGCCTTTGGGTAAACCCTACTTGAAGGCTCATGGGACTTAGTAAGTAAGGTTATAAGTAGGTTATAATTAGGATAACCCCACTTAGGGGACTTATAACCCCAATTATAACCTACTTACTAAGTCCCATGATCCTCTAAGTAAAC